ATGAGAGAGGGTACTGGAAGGATTAGAGCCAATCGAGTTCCAGCCTCCGGTTCGTTCTGGGGTATTGCTCTTCCGAACGAACGAACGAACGTGCCATAGCTTTGGCGATGGATTCGATTCAAACTGTCGGATAGACTCTTGCAGCTGAAGTTCGAGCTTGGTGATTGAGAGGGGTGTACGGCTTTCCGATTGGTTGAGGATGTATATGAGATGGGTTCAGCTTCTTTTTCTTTTTTTTCTTTTCTTTGAATCCTCCCCAATCCGAGGATCGGTTTATCTTCTAGTAAGGATCTATGGGATAGATGTTTTATGGCATTGTGGCATTATGAGGCATATCCGAATGCTGGCTGTATTGAAAGAGGATGAGGGACTAAGCGTTGGTAGTAGTGCCGGAGTGTCCTCGTTGGTAGTGGTTGGAATTATCTCCCTCCAGGGGGAAGCTGAGAGTTTCTCTCTCCTCACTCTCTCTCTCCAATGGCTAATCGTTCTGCGATGTTGAAGTTTTCAGGAACCAGTTGCACTTCATCTGCTAGGATCCAAGTCGAAAGTCCACGAGCTCGCGAGCTCAACATATCCCAGGTCAGTCAGGTCCCTACTCCTGTTTGCTACGCCCTGCCCAACAGAACTTCGTCTCACTGTTCCGACTCCACGAGATGTCTTGCATGTACCTCACTCCCTACCTATCTACCTACCAACCTAGAGTACCTAACACCCCATGGGCTCACCGCATAACAACCAAGATAACTGGAACAAAAATGCCACAACGTAGCACGACGGCTATATCTATGTATGTGTGTATGTGTGTGTGTAAGTATGTATGTGTAGCACGCATGTGGTTTTCGCCCGAGTCTTATTGTTGCAGCAGTAGCGCAGTGTGTAACGCTGGTTGTGTTACCGTTGCTTGCTTGCTTGCTTGCTTGCCCGCCTGGCCGCGACGCAACCAGGTTGCATTTCGGTAGGTATGTGTACAACGACGCCTCTGATCCATGCTCCATCAAGGGAGAAAAGGCGAGAGGATATATCGAGATTCTAGGTAGCTAGAGGTATGTATGTACTGGTAGAGATTGTTGAGGAGTCTATCAAGATGGGTGTAATAGACTAGGTAGGTGAAAAACAGCCTGGCTGGCCCGAAGAGTGAAATAAAGCCAACCAGAAGTGAGCAGGACACTACTTGCTCCTTTAATTCTTCTTCTTCTCGTACGTATCGCTATACTATACCTACCTCTCCTAAACACCGACCTGATTCCCCACATCCAGGATCACCCACGGAACTTTCCACGTCCCATTATACCATAGCCGTAGCCCCCCAGCCAGGCCCAGCTCTCACGACGGTCTCAACTCAGGTTACCTCTCCCAAGCCCCCAAGCCACTTGTGCAATGTGAGAAAAGTGCAACCGCGTACAGGTGTAGTATCCATCTGAAACACAAATGCATTGGGCAATGGATTGACGATGGGAGGACAGGGGGGACATGGGGGGACATGGGAGACAAAGCAGTGTTACTCTTTCACTCCTTCGCCACGTGTAGGTTGCTGATGGTGTCCTACCTTACCTCGCCCCCCCCCATCCTTTTTCGCTTTCACTCTTTCCCCCTTTTTTTTTTGTGCCTTTGTGCCTCTGTGCCTCTGTTTCTCTTCCGCTGCGTGCGGCATGCTGGCTGCTGTGTTTTTGTGTTTTTGCATTTGTCGTGGTTGTGTCGTTGTGTTTTGTAGGTAGCTGAGGGGTAGTCGTGACTTCCATTTTCTGCAATTGTAGTCGTAGTCGTAGCTGTGGGACGGACACTCGGTGGTATTATCACTTCTCAGCTTCCACTGGATGGTTATACGGCTGTTCATTCATCCGTCGGGATATTGCTGCAGCAGCAGCAGCAGCAGCAGCAGCAGCAGGAAAAAGAGAAGCACAAGTACAAGAAGCGGCCGTGGACTCGTTGTACCGATTCTGGATCATCATGTACGATCTTGGATTACCATACGTACCTAGGTAACCCTGGAGTCGCAAATAGAAAGAGGTTCGGCGGCAATATGGTTTTGTTCATTTTTGCCCCTTTCCTACACGTCCTGTCCCTGACTTTACCATGATGCTTTGTCCAACATTGACTGCGTACCACCCTTTCCTCCCATAGGTAGGCAAATACAAGATAGAAATAGAAGAGGTCAATCAAAGCGGAGATAGCACTCACAAGAAACAACCACATAAATACAACCGGATAGCCGCACGCGCCGAGGCACTTGTCGTCACGTCGTGACGTCGTAACCCTTTGACCTTGACTCCTTACCTTCCTGTTTACCATGGCCACGGTACACAGGGATGTGTTCTGTCTTGTGCCTGCTGTAGTTGGTGTTGCTGTTGTCGTTTCTGTTGCCGTTACCCAGGGGCAGGTACTCTTGTTGGACCAAGCTGAGCACCTTTCTCACTCAGCACGGGGTTTTTGTTCCGGCCAGTTCGGGCACGACACCTCGATGTTCACTCCGATATTGCTAAACTTTCCTTTTGTTCTCTTCCAGGTTCTGTTTCTATGTCGTGCCGTTGCTCTCGGACGTAAAATCTGGTGAGTGGTGAGGAAAAGAGAGAGAAGGAAAGAGAGAGAGAAGATACCTTGAGGCCATGGTGTTTGTTCAAGACTCGACCCCAGAAGGTAGAAGTAGGAAGGGAAGAAGATAAGTCCGGATACCAATGGAGGAAAAAAGACACAAAGACTGCACGAAACCACTTGGCTTCATGGAATAACCCGGCTGGTGACCTCGTGTCTCTTCGCGTGACTATAAATCATGTCTAGTGAAGAAACAGACATGCATAAGCGCCTGGCCAGGAGAGTTTCGTTGATCTTTCTGTACAGCAGCGAGACAAAACATACATACCAGACAGCATAGAACGCACGGATATGTGTCCAGCTAAAATAAGTGATTCACTTGGCAATGCGGTCTCTGACTCTGAGACGGGTTGAAATGTGGTTGACCTCTCCGAAGGTCATGTAAGGTAGGCTCTCAAAAGCGTTCGTTCTGGATTCAGATGCGTACTTCAAGAAGAACTGATGCATAGAAGCATGTTCTTGTGTCTGAAGGAAGATGTCTCTCGAACTTGGTTTGAATGTCTTTGCAAATCCTGTCTCGCACGGAGGTAGATGAACGTCGTCTTGTCAGATCCTCGGGGTCTTGGTGATGCGGCTAGGAGGCTTAAACTCGAGAAACACTACAGTTGCCCGGTTTGAAGCCATCCAAATGATCCCGCCGGATCCCCTTCGGTCTTAGGTGTCTGATTCCAGGGTGATGGAGCTGGTGACGGAATGGTGTTGAGTTTATGCAGCACGTACGAATCGATTTGAAGACAACTTCCTCGACATCTCCCCAGCATCACGTTCCTTCATCAAAATGGTAATACCAACAGCGCCCGATGACAATATCCAAACAATGAAAAGAAACAAAGCATCACCCCAGCAAAAAAAAGAGGATATCAGCAGTCAGAACAAAAAGAGCAAAAAGTAGAAAAAAAGTTGCGCCAAGAGGGAATCGAACCCCCCCCTCAACCTTGGAAGGGTTGAATCCTAACCACTAGACCATTGGCGCTTTTGATGGTTTTGTTTGCTTGTTGAAAGATAGCTCATCATGATCTCCTTATATGGGGCAGGTACCGTAACGTGTCCGCAACAGCCAACTCAGCTGGGCCAGGCAGTCGCGGCCCAACAACTGTGGTCCTGTGGAGCCTTCGGAGCCGACGGTTTGTCTTGGCACTCCGTCAGGAGTCCTGGACGGAGATCGGAGAGAAAGGGGGAGGAACTAGGGTTAGGGTTAATCTCCGTTAGAGATGGTCTGAATGACGGGAATAGCGGGCTGGAATCGAGCGGCAGGAGTTCAGACGGTAGTCAGTTGATTGGTGTCGATGTCTCGAAGGAGGCTTTGTGAACTCGGACCCGACTCCATGAAATGCCCGTGGGGGCTCGGATCTCGGGAGTGAGTGCAGCCGGAGAAGGCCTGATTTGGTGTTGAGGATCGAAATCTGGAGGTGGCGGGCAGGCCTCCTGTTAAGCTTTTCTTAGCAAATAAGCGACGATCGTCCGATAGTGCTGTGTAGTCTCTGCTTGGTTTAAGTCCCGGTGGATGGTAAGATAAGCCAGAGGCTTATATATACACTTCGAGTAACATAGCGTGGCCCGGGGGGTTAGCTACCGAGTCGGTGCGGGTTGAAACCGGATCAAGACGTATCAGGAATAGGTATTCGTCAACTCATCGGACATCTTTTACTATTTAAAGGCGGTATAGAGTCATACACAGCCCTAAAAGGCCCATGAAACGGTCGCAACCATTGTGGTGTGCTGACTTTCCGGAGCGTGAGCGCGGTCCGCAGTAGCTTTGACGTTGCCTTTCGGAGGTGTGTAATCGGAATCCCGACGTGGGTAATGTCCGCTATTGGAGTTTCCCGGAGACTTGTGGAATAACAAACCAACCAGACTGGTGGTGGTGAATGCTCGTAGTAGGGGTGATAGTGTCCAACCATCCGTCTTTGAAAGAGCACGCAACCGGTCAGCATGGCGCCCCAACCCAACGACTTTTACTTGACGGCGTTGGTACAAGCCATGAGGCTAAAGTACAGTATAAGAGATCGCGCTTAAGCCCGGAAGTGTACCGCAAACCAAGGGCGCAGTTGGCACCGCGGCACGTGCGATAGTTCCCATTGGTCCCATGACAAAGAACCACCCAGCCCTATGGCACCAACATAGCCCATGTGGTTGCTCTGCGTCATTGTTGTCATTTGGTCTTCTCATCCGGTGGGAAAGGTGAATGATCACTCTGCAGCACACTCGCGCTTGACCCGAAGGTAAAACCCCCATGCCACCCCCATGGCACTGTCTTACAGTCTCACGGGTTGTTGGAGGCCTGGTGAGCATGTCCGTTTTGGGTTTATAACACTCCCACCTCCGGGCCACTCAACAGTGAAAATTATTTACTTCCCGCCAGTCGATCCTCGTCTCGCAGATGAACACAGTCTCTGCTATGCCTTCCCACAATGGTTGGAATCTCATACCCGGCAAAAGGATATCGACAAATCGGTGGCCATCGCCCCTTCTCAACCGTTGAGGTGGTGCTTTTAATCTCCCTGGTCTCGTTCACAACCTCGCTGATTGTTTTCTCGATCGTCTACTCTGTCCAACATCGGGGACCTATACGACCAGCGCTTGTCGTTTCGATATCCGGATCGATAATCTTCCTTCTCGCTATTTGCTATATTGTGTACAGCAGGATAGGCCAAGCTCGTCAGTATCACGATCTTGAGAATCGGGAGGATGGACAATCGAGTCCGTCGAGCTACACCATCAATACCTACTCGCCATCAGTTGAAACCATATCCCCCAACATGCGTTTTGCACCGGCGAACGACTTCCGTAACAACCGGAATCGCTCATTCTGGGCTTACTCGGCAACCGTATTACCCGCAAATGCGCCGGACGAGGAGAGACTGCTGGCCCATGCCAGTGAGCAGTACGCGACCCAGAAAGAAGAGAAGGAACGGAAGCCTGGGACAGACCGAGTTGACAATCTTGGGAAGGCAAGCAACATCAAAATCATCATCACGGAACCGGAGCCCGTAGCTTCGCGACATGGCATATCTCTCGAATTCGACCCCCTCCGATCCCATCCAGTCGACTTGGATCGAGGTACCAGCATCAAGCAGTCAGGAACTCCCCGAACCCTGACTGCGATCCCCAGAAGCGCAGAGCCCGACAAGACTGCGTCAAATCGAAAGCACTCAGTCGATTCGGGTCCTAGGACAGTAGGGACCAGTTCGGCCTCTAGATCTCATCGCCATCATCATCTGCGGAAGTCGAGAAGGCCTACCATCAACAGCGTCAGCGGCAGGCAGGACTTGCGGGCTATTTTTCAAAACGGAGAATAGATGCGGAGATGGTTTGATGTCGCGTGGTATCCTTTGGAAACCGATGATGGCGAGTTGGATTATGGCGGATGCGACATCCAGGTACCGGCGGCAGTTGGTCGCATTGGATGAACCTGACGTAGTTGGTGGGAACAGAGCGGAACATTTGGGGAAATAGATCCAGCCCCAGGAGGGGGTTTAAACGTCCCAAACCATACTAAATTCAATTATGAGCACTGAGCGTGCATCTCAAGCCATTCTCCGTGTAGCAATCACCGTCATGGTTGTGAGCTGAGATGTGTTGTTGTTAGTTGTTGTTGTGAAGTTGACATTGGACCCTGACCTGGCAGTTAACAACTGATAGTGACAGATAAGGACCGTTAGGTAGTGACGATTACATGTGCACACAGCCTTCACTGACGCGTGCAGCACAGAGTCAGACACGTCCGATAAGCTTATCCGTAATAGCGACCTTTCCCAAGGCGGCTAGTCGAATCGGTTATCCAGCTTGTCGTGCCGCCTCAACCCTGCTTGAATTTTCTGATAGCGGCGGATGGGAGCACTCCAACCATAGTGGAGAGTCCACTCTGAGAACGCGGGGCCTCAAGGTCGACTGACTTTTATTCTTTCCCTGGCAAACGCTTCCTGTCTTCCGATTCATCTTTTCAACAACCCTTTTTTTGCCCATCCATCCATTCATCCTCACCCCCATACTTCAAAATGTGAGTTTTCAGTTCTTTTACGGTCATGGACTGGACAGGCAGACCGGAACCCTAGACCAGCTACTGACAGATATATCCCCAAATCCAGGCAGTCCATCCGTCGTGCCGCTCTCAGATCCGCCCTCTCTGCTTCGAGGGCTATCTCTACCCAGGCTCCTGCTGCGTCTTTCTCCGCCAGCATTGCCCGCACTGCTCTTGTCTCCAGCAGAATCCAGGCTATCCGCTTCTTCTCTCAGTCCCCCCGTGTCCTCAACACTGAGGAGCCTACCCAGCCTGAGCAGACCGAGACCGAGACCGAGACTGCCCCTGCTGCTACCGAGGAGGCCGCTGTCCAGGAGGACACCCGTGATGGCCACGCCGCTTTCGTCCGCAACATCGTCTTCGATGCTACCGAGGAGCACCTCAAGGGCGCTTTCGAGAAGTTCGGCAACGTCACCAACGTTTTCCTTGCCCGTGATGCCCGCGGCTTGAGCAAGGGGTAAGTTTGGATTCCTTTCTACATATCCCACGTTGAATTACGCTAACAGATTGTGTCTACAGTTACGGTTTCGTCACCTTCGCCACCCGTGAGGCCCTCGAGGAGGCCTGCTCCCAGGTCGACGGCTCTTTCTGGCACGGTCGCCGCATTAGCGTCGAGCCCCGCCGTGCGAAGGCCAGCCGTGGCGGCTCCACCGGCGAGCCTTCCGCCTGCCTTTTCATTGGCAACATCCCCTACGAGACCACCGATGCCGAGCTGAACAACATCTTTGTCGGCATTGACGGTCTCAAGGACGTCCGCGTCGCCGTTGACCGTGCTACCGGCTGGCCCCGTGGCTTTGCCCATGCCGACTTCGTCGACGTCGAGTCTGCCGTTACCGCCTTGGAGAAGCTCCAGGGTACCCAGCTCGGCGAGAGGACCGTCAAGCTTGACTATGCTCAGCCCGTCGCTGCTCGTCAGCCCCGTGAGAACAACGGCGAGCGCCGCGAGTACAACGGTGAGCGTCGCGAGTACAACGGCGAGCGTCGCGAGTACCGCCCCCGTCAGCAGCGTGATGGGCAGCGCGATGGCCAGCGCAGCTACAACCGCGACGGTGGTAACCGCAGCTACAACCGTGAGGGTGGCAACCGCAGCTACAACCGCGATGGTGGCAACCGCAACTACAACCGCCGCGACCAGGGCGAGTCCACCGAGTTCTAAACTGGCAAGCCGCAATTGAGGGCATGCAATGGTTACGACACGGCTGGGTGAAGAGGATGGGAAACGGATGTAATGGAGGGCAAAACTGGGCAAGTTCGGTTTAAAAAAAAAAAGCCGGTTGTGTTTCTTGACAAATGTTGCCAAAATTGGGGCACATTGGGATTGGGAAACTGTGGGATTGGTGTTGTGGCGCCTTTGCAGTACGATCACTCTGCGTACATCATCCTGGCCTTTTGCTTGCAATGATACCTGTACAAGTACGACAAATCTTCTCTTCTTTCTTCTTACTGCGACTAGTTGTTTTCGTTTACCATTTTTTGTTGGTTATATCTCTGTACATATGTACGAATAGACGGGTGGTCTTCTGTGCATCTTTCTGTGCATCGATTCTTTGCATCCTGCATTCCGTGTGAGTGACGTGACGATCTGCTTGAGATGCATCGTTTCACTTTTCATTTCCCCTTTCAACTTGTGCATTGCCGTGCTGCCGGCATGTGAGTATGACTTCCGCCGCACTCTGTCGTCCGATTGTTCTCGGCTGTCGTTTGAACGAAGGGATCAATGATGGGTCCGGGGGGTCCGGGGGGTCCGGGGGCGGGGGTGTTCTCCATGGGCCGGGCTGGGGTTCGGCTAAGGTGTGGTTGACAACCTCAAGACTCCATTGGCGGGGTCGGTAGCCGCGGCCAACGAGTGGCCGGCCCCACCGGCAACTGCCAAAAGCCCAAAAAGAACAAGAGCGCGGTGGTGGCAGCGGATGGCTGGCTGGCTGCCTCGGCATTTCCAGCAGTTCAGGTGGCGTACAGGCGGTGCCCCCCTCGTGCCCCTGAGCTTTTGGCGCCCAAGGTTGCATCTGCAGAGCCCGATTTCTAACCACGCTGCTGCCATCCACACATGGACCCATCGACACCGTGCATCGGGCCGTGGGCTTCGCTACTTACAAGACTGCGACACCCACATCCCTCGGAGTCGGTCAACTTCTTCCTTCCACTTGGACAACTTCAGCTGGACACCGCCGCTTGATCACTAATTAACTCCACAAGCCCACGTGCCTGGCTTCCATTGTCTGTTGGTTCCACGTTTTTCTTCCTCTTTTCAACCCAAAGTCATCCTTTGCCCCTGCGCAAAAGACTAGCTACCGCTACTTCCAGCCGCCTTCTACAACCAACAACTTGCGCGAGCCGCTGCTTTCCCAACAGTCGACCACATATCGCTCCACTTCACCTACCAGGAAGTGTCAAGAGCCGCGCATCTCGTCTCCCTCCTCGGCTTGTCAACTCTCGCCGAAACATCGCCATTGTCGCATTATTATAAACGACCCCATATCCAATATCTTCAAAATGTCTTTCATGGGAGGAGCCGAGTGCTCGACGGCGGGCAACCCGCTCAGCCAGTTCACCAAACACGTTGGAGACGACAAGAGCCTCCAACATGACAGACTTGTCAACAGAGGCCCCAATGCTGCAGTTGGTGGCTTCCGGAGTACCAACCGCGGCCCTGGGCAAGATGAGGTAAGGAATCTTCATGGACCCTGTTGACGGCGAGGCCTGCGCTCTTGGCTGACACGACGATCCCCTTAAACAGATGGTGAACGGATTCCTAAACCAAACGCCCGAGATGGCTCATATGCCGCTCGAACAAGGACACATGCTCCACCTCGACCCGAACCAAGGCGTCCACATGCGCGCCCAGAACGCCTCGCCAGTATGGGCTAATGACTTCCACAACGCACAGGCGGCTATGGAAGCCGCCTTCAATGCGCCGCCCGGCACTCAGTTCAGCGCCGATGAGTTCTCAAAGTTCCAGCAGATGCACCCGGCGGCGGCGCCGGCCACCGCCAGTCAGATGTCTGCTCAGCGCCCCATGATGGGTGGTGGCATGATGGGTATGGGCAACATGAACTACAACATGATGCAGCGGCCCATGTATCAGCCCATGGTCGGCATGCACGGCCCTCAGATGCACAACATCCCCCAGCAACAACTACAGCCCGAGGGCAAGGGCAAGGGCAAGGTTGTTGAGCTCGACCAGAACAAGTGGGAGGAGCATTTTGCTCAGTTGGAGATTAATGGTGACGAGGCCCGTGCTATGGAGCCCGAGCTCAACAAGATGGACGAGGCGCTACTTCACTCCGAGACCGGTGCCGGCGATCTTGAATCCATCTGGCGCGGTATCCAGGCCGAAAGAGACGCTATGAAGGAGTTGGACGAGATCGATGTCCAGGACGACTTCGCCAAGTTCGACAGTGAGAACCTGGAAAAGGAAGACTGGACGCTGAACGGCAGGCTCGGCGCGGACCCTATCGTGCAAGAGTACCTCTTCGAGGAAGATAACTTCTTCCGGGAGACACCAAACCCATTCGAAGAGGGTATTCGCATCATGAATGAGGGTGGAAACCTGTCGCTAGCTGCTCTGGCCTTCGAGGCCGCGGTTCAGAAGAACCCCGACCACACCGAGGCGTGGGTCTACCTCGGACAGGCTCAAGCCCAGAACGAGAAGGAAGAAGCCGCCATCCGTGCTCTCGAGCGCGCCATGAAGCTCGACCCCAACAACCTCTCCGCCATGATGGGCCTGGCCGTCTCCTACACCAACGAGGGCTACGACAGCACCGCCTACCGCACGCTCGAGCGCTGGCTGTCGACCAAGTACCCCAGCGTCATCTCGCCCCAGAACCTCTCCTCGGCCGCCGACATGGGCTTCACCGACCGCGCCCAGCTGCACGAGCGCGTCACCAACCTCTTCCTCGAGGCGGCTCGCCTCGCTCCCGATGGCGACCATATGGATCCCGATGTGCAGGTCGGCCTGGGCGTCCTGTTCTACGGCGCCGAGGACTACGACAAGGCGGTCGACTGCTTCCAGTCCGCCCTGCACTCCACCGAGCTCGGCACCTCCAACCAGCGCGAGCAGATCCACCTGCTCTGGAACCGGCTGGGCGCCACCCTCGCCAACAGCGGCCGCTCCGAGGAGGCCATCGCCGCCTACGAAAAGGCCCTCGCCATCCACCCCAACTTTGTCCGCGCCCGCTACAACCTCGGCGTCTCGTGCATCAACATCGGCTGCCACGACGAGGCCGCCGGCCACCTGCTCGCGGCGCTGGACATGCACAAGTCCGTCGAGAAGAGCGGGCGCGAGAAGGCGCGCGAGCTGTTGGGCGGCAATGCGGGCGATAGCGACTCGCGCATCGATAACATGATGACGCAGAACAGGAGCACGACCCTCTATGATACCCTTCGTCGCGTGTTCACCCAGATGGGACGGAGGGATCTGGCGGAGAAGGTTACCACGGGCGTGGATCCGGAGATCTTCCGTGGTGAGTTTGACTTCTAGAGGGAGAGGGAGTTAGAGTTAGAGATGGAAGCGCAGGAGGTGCAGGAGTTGAGGTGGGTATACTATGCTGGGGAGGATGTTTATTATGATGGTGATGTTGAGGACGAGGAGGAGGACTTGGAGGAGCAGTGGTGGGAGGAGGACTTGGACGAGGGTTATGTGTCGAGTGGGTCGAGTACGCTATGTACGGATGATCAGAGGGGGTTTTGGTGAATGTACACATACTAAGTACTGTACGAAGCGAATATAGCTGGCTTGGGTTGTTAATGACTGAACTTGAGGCTGGGAGGCGAAAAGTCGAAGACGGGAGGGTTTGATGTTTTTTTTTTCTTTTTCTTTTTTTTTTTGGTTAGTGGCGAGTCGGGCTTTGCATTTGCTGGGTGTCGTGTGTTTCTTGCTTGATATCGGGGAGAAGAGGGAAGATAGTGAGCGGAGAAAAGCGGATTGCATTCATAAACACATACATAAATGCAATCCATAGGTTTCTTGAAGTATCTACGTTGCCTTAACTTGCCTTGCCATACCTCCAGGTGAACAAAGCTGTGAGAAGTTGAATGCTTAACTTAGTGGTGGATTAACCTGTCCTGTTTTCAGTTTGAGTTGTCGCCAGGTTCTCAGGAGTGATAGCTCACGTATAGGACAGAGTTGTGACACCGTTCCATGTTCTTGAATGGCAAAAGTTGAGGTGCATAATCACAAAACAGGGAAAGTCCACACACCGGTGGTCAGCGGCACGTGTGTTGTTGGGCTTATCAGATTTGATACTGATGATCATTGTCAAAGCTTGAAGACGCTGCTATTTCTATAACCATGTTAGGTTCCGTAACCGTGACGAGATGTTGTCCGTAAAAGCCTACGACATCGATGTATATATCTTAAAAGATATGCTGAGAACCATCTATGTCACACCAAGCAATGTCAGAATATCTATACTGCTTCGCTGCCTCTTAATTTCTATCCGCAACCGTCCATAACCATGATCACTCCATCAGCTACCCCGAAACATCCCACGGGTATCATCTCTGTTTTCTCCAGTGTCCACCCGGAGGCCCAGGGCACAGAGCCTATTTGACTCCAATAAAGCCAATACCGCTCCTGGCCACCTTCAAAGCCTGGCGCAGAGCCTGGTCCTCCCTGTCCGTCCATTGCACACTCAGCTGGTCCCACTTAGAGCCAGGCGTGTTGTACTCCTTCTTGAACTGGGCCTGCATGGCCTGCAGCCGGCTCATCTCGCGCGGGTCGCCGGTGCCGGTATAGACGATGAAGGCCGTGCAGGGCGGGAGGTTGTCGTAGATGCGCTTCAAGCGCTCGCCGAGCGTCTTCAGGCAAGTTTCCAGGGGTGATACGGTATCCTCCTTTTCTTCCTCCTCCTTCTCACCATCAGTGACAGCTGGCGGGCCGCCAGCATCCTCGGGCACGAGCTTGTTGCGGTTCCACCATCCTTGGAGAGCCTCGAGCTCACGCATGCGCGCCCAGACGAAATCGACGCCGCCGCCGGGAACTTCGAGACCGTCGGGATCGCCCTTGACCGCGCGGAGGATACCGGCTTCGACCTCGGCATCCGACTTGCAGGAGATGGTCACAGTGGCGGCGTTGCCGGCGCTTCTGCTCACGTCACCCCAGTCAACTGCCGCGCTGCTCTTGCCGACAGGAGCGCCGCCCGTGGCTTCCGGACCAGCGGTCGAGCGATATGCCGTGCCAGCGCGAGCGAGGCGCTTGAAGAGGTTCTCGCCCTGGCTCTCTCCGGCACCCCATGCCTTGCCCTTCTCGCACTTCCTCTTGACGAGGTCGAGACATGTCTTGGCGTCTTCGATACTGTCGTGTCCAGCGTTGGTTCCGCCGCCCTTTTGGACTTCGCGGTTGAGGAACTTTTGTGCGAGGTACTTCAACGATTGTTTGAGAGGGGGTCCGCGAGGGTGCGGGAAGAGAAGCGAGGTGTCGACAATGAAGGGGTGAGCGAGCTTGAGCGCCTTAAGATCAGAGTCAAGCGAGTGACCGAGGAGAATCGAGCGAGGGCCAAGAATGTCGAGCAAGCGTGCCTGGATATCCTTCAATGTCGTGTTAACAGGGTCGATCATCTCTTTGGTGATACCTGAGAACCGTGTCACATAGTCAATGATAGGCTTGTCCGGCTTGACCAGTTCATCGAGAACAACGCTGCCGTCCCAAGCAACCAAGCTGATTCTGGTAAGTGAATACTCGGCCTCCCCCGTCACACACATCTCGCAATCGAGGGCATAGACTTCCCGGCCTGCGGTGACACTGCCCTGCTGCACTTCGCCCTCAGGGACCTTTCCATCCTCAAGATTCTCGACTCTTGTATGCACCCAGCCTTCGGGGTCCTTGAACTTATCTCTCTTCTCCCCTGGCTTCAGCATAGCTGGGTGAACGGGGAAGCCGTTCTCCATCAGCTCCTCGTTGTTGGCCAAAAGCTCGGTAATGCGTGTTCGCTGATTTTTCCAGCCGTTGGGCTCGGATACGGGCTGGACTCCCGCTCCCTTGTTCTTGGGGAGGGGCGCGGTAAGCATTGCAGGCATCGGTGAGTGCAACTTGCCATACTTGTCGTCACCTGGAGCTTTTACAGGCCACAAATGCGGGAACATGTCGGCGAAGGGCTGTAGCACTTCGGGCAACAACTCCTTCTTGAGCTCGCGTGGATAGTACTCATTAGGATCAGGCGCGCCCCCAGAGATCGCTTGATCAGGAGGGGGGCCGGTGTAGGCGGAAAAGTCGAGACCCTTCTTGAACATGGCCTCGTCAAGACCCGGTACCATGATGGCCACGATCTTTCTGAACTCGGGGCGATGCTTGACAGACACCCATTGCGGAGCAGGACCATCGGCAAAGATGTACAGGATCAGGTCGCGTAAAGAAGAGACGTTGATCTTGGAGAAAAGCCTGGCCTGTGTCGAGAAGTGGATGCCGGGATAGCGTTTTGATTCTTGACCAGGAATCTTCTTCAGTTTCTTTACTGGCCGGCCATTTTCGATTGTCTGCCAACCGCCGTCGTCTTCATTGTCATCCTCGGGACATGGGCGTTTAAGACTGCCAGATGATGTGGTTGGCGTCGATTCACCGTCTGCCGGAGCAGTTGGATTCTGAATGCTGGTGTTTTCGGTATCAATGGCCATCGAGTCGCCCTGGAAGGTGGCCAAGGCAGCCGCAACGCCGCGCTGACCTTTGCTCTTGTTCTTTTTTTTGCCCATGGTGACTGCGCTTCCTCTGAGGGGAGTGTGACTTGAAAACTCCACGGAAGTGCAAGGGCAATATAAATGGTAAAAGAGAGGCGATTAGGGAGTGAAAGTGAAACAGAGATGTTCAAGTTTTAAATTGGGGAAAACATGCAAGTGGACGTCTGAAGTTGAAGTCACTGGAGTCGGATCAAACCAAAAAGAACCCTTGTTCGTGCCTGCCAACCCCAGGCACGCTAAGGTTGGTGGAGCGAGTCACCGGCGGTGGTTGAGGCAGAGCCCCACTGTAACACTTAGTGTGGCTGGTTTCACAGTCACTTTCGTAGTAAAGCCACATCTTATCGTTCAAGGATGTGGCGCCTACCGCTTTCGATCCCCTGCCAAGACCGTCCCTGTTATCAAACGACTTATACGATGGCTCCTTCCTCCGTTGAGAGTCAAGTGAGCGGTCAAATTTCCCATGATGTGAAAATTTTCCAGAGGTAGAATCAATACCCGAGTAATCTCTAGCTCATCTCAACTTTGATTTTAGCTCAGGCAACAATGTGCGTGATCGAATTGCGACTTCCACCCTCCATGATCCTGAGATACCGATACGCAAAGCATCACCATATTTTTCCTTTCTCAACCCTGAACTCGTGAGTTCTTTCGCAACACTCCGCTTGGCATCGCCCTCGATATCCATAGTCCACCATGGAGCTGGTAATCTGCCATTGCAAGCAATGCCGGAATCCCATCGGCAAGTTCATCAACCTGTGGATTCAAATCGACGGGAAGGCATTCAGTCCCATCATCGAATCGGAGGACAATCTGAAAATCCTCTGTCGCGGAAAGATAGTGGACGGATATCGTGGAACACTGACTGAAAATTGGTGAAGCCCCCTAACGTCCAAACCCTCCGTATATGACATTGGTTCTTACCTTTCACGTGTCGTAGTAAACGGCAAGATGTAATTTGTGCCAGTTGTTCCGAATCCGTTGGGGTCAAGTTCCTCAAGACCCCTGTAAGTCATGTGCTACATGAGTAAGTTAAATATGATCAATGGCGTGAGATATCATGACCGATGTTTAACAAGGCCTTGTAGGAATCAGATTGTGTTCCGGATTGCATCAGTCACCCTATCCGACGACGCGGGCGAGCGAGTAAAGTGTGCCATCATACGCGTCCTCAGCAACAAAGAGCCGGCTAGAGTCAGCAAAGCCAACTCGACCGAAAAAAAAGGGGAATATTGTATTCCTCGCTTGAGATTGCCTAGATTTATCGACATTCCCCCATTGGAGAATGAGGTCGCCAGCCAAAGACAGCATGTCAATCAGACCGACAGCAATACTCCCAGAGTTGCCAAGGCTTTGGAAAAGGGGGCCGACGGCACCGGGGACTACCTTGCCAAACTTGAGACACTCGAGACCACAGTTGAGAAGTGTCTCCTGGAGGTCAAAGGGATTTTTGATGATCTGGCATCCATCAAGATCGAGGTCAACGATCCGAAGGATGTTCAACATCAACAAACCACCTGACTCGACCAACGGCTCGATTCTGTTTCCTCTGAACTCAGGCAAACACGCAACGAAGTGACAAAGTCCACAAATCAAGTGCAACAAGAGCTCACGAACCTTAGAGCGCAGGTCTCTGGCCTCCAAACCCAGGTCAATATCTTAACGTCAAAAGCTAACAATAGCGTTTCTGCCACCGATCATGCGAATGAAGTTGGAACACTTCGTGCCGAAAATGCCAACTTGAGACGGCTGTTGAACAATACGCGCTCTAACAACAACCAAGAACAAAGTTTTCCACCAAGGGAGCTGGATATTCTCACAAGTAACATCGCCAAGATAGGCAACCGTGCCAGCCAGGTTGAAACCCTTCAGATGGAGTTCGAGATTCTCAAGGGCAGAGTGAAACGGCTCGAGGCTGACCGGGAAACTGCCGAAACCTTCATGTCTCCCAATTGTCGGAAACGGACATCGGCGGAGGCCGGGCTTCCTGAGACAGACCTCGCAGCAAAGTTGCCTGTTGTTTCAGCACGTCCGAGTCTTTCAGCTCATATACACCAGCTGTTGACACGTCGCCAATCTGCCTTGCTCGAAGCCGCTCGACCAGAAGGAACACTGCCGAAAAGGGGTCAGGGTCCTCAGCCTAGCCTGTCAGAGGCATCAAGTAAGGAGAGGGAGCCTGGTCGCGGAGAGAGAAACTAAAAAAACTGTGGTTTTCCTTTCTGGGCTTACTTCCGAGCCAGGCTCTTGTTGTCTCCCAGCTCAGCCTCGATGATCTCAATCGCGAAACTCGCGAGCTGTTTGATCGGCTTGAGCACAACGTTCTCCCAGAAAGCCTTGCTCACAGGATCTTGCAAATCGTTTGCCCAATGCTTGACCATAGCGGCGTCCTTCTCGTCACGCTCCTGCAGATCTCCGATGTCGCGCAACATTTCTTTGGTTCCGAATAAGACGTCCCACGATGCCACACCTCCTATGACACCGTTCTGCCTGACCAGTCGAAGGATGACCTCGGTGAGAGAAACTATGTCGACGGTTGCCAGAACCCCAATAACACCCTCGTGGTCGCAGTACCGAGCAAGATCGCCGCTATAGGTCATGTCTCCTGCCGCGGACAGGAGCTTTGCAATCGTCATGAGGGTTTTGACCCTGAAGGGCGCGAATGATGCTGTGTACTTGAAGGGCCAGCATTCCACCGCAAGGAAGCAGTGCAGAGAAAGCGCCTTGACCAACGTAGTACGGTTAGCTCCCCACATGGTAGCTAGGTTGAGCATTGTAGCAGGAAGGGGATCGATAGCCCACAGCTGAGCGTCGATAAGAGGTTTGCAAAGCTTCCACTTGGCTCGAGCAAGATCAATAGGATCCCCCTGACCCATTACGGTCAGTTCCATACACTTCCAGTGTATTTCCTCGATCTTGGATTTTGGAATTTTCTTTGATCTTTCAATGTACGCAGGAACCAGGCTGGCGACATCCGGCTGGAAAGTGCAGGAATTCAGCCATTTGACACCCGGAGAGACCCCGCAAGCCTGGATCACTTCGTAGACATTCAAGTCGTCTTTGCAACGAATACAATTGCACTGGAAGTGATAGAGTCGAAGTGATTCTTGCCTTGCACGGCGAGGGGCGGTGTGATCTGGACGACAGAGTTAGAATTCGAATAAATATCTTGATAGTGACAGAAATGACCATACCGATATATGAAATCAGAATCTCGTCACCCGGTTCAAGATCCCTTTCCGCTTTGAGAAAGGCTTTGCGCTTCTCGAAGGTGATATAGGCGTTTGGCACGCAAGAGTGATTCACCATCGAAAGACTGGGGTGAAGGAAGATGCCAGCCTGTCCCGTGTCGGCATCAAACCTGTTGAACGCATTTGTTTGGATCTAAGCGCCGGCGCACCAGTCAGTTCATATCACACATCAATTTTTCAGACTTCCATCTCCCAACGTCAAACTTACCTTGCACAGCACCTCCATGGCCTGCTTCAGCGTCTCATCCGACTGCAACAAACCCGCATAAACCACCGCGCCCGTAGCCTGCAACTCAAAGTCCTTCCACAACTCCTCATCCGTCTTGAACCCCTCCACATTACTCTCCAACGTACCACCAGGCCCAAACGCCTTAACAATCTCCTCATCCCCAGCCTTCAACAACAACATCACCTGCGCCACCGCCCTCACGGGAGTCGGCACCCAGTCCTTGCCCGTCCTCTCCCGGATCCGCTTGAACATCTTGCACTCGGCCTTGTGCACCAGCTTCCAGTGCGCCCGCTGGCACTCGGCGTTGCAATACACGGCCGCCTTGCAGCCCGTGCACGCCTTACACGTCCTGGGCCCCGCTTCCACATCGCCCTCGAACTCGATCGTCCCGCTGACGTAGAGGCAGTAGTTGCACGTCGTCCGCATGTTGGCGTCGTCTGGGAGAGCGAGCAGAGGGTTGTCGATGATGGCGATGGTTTCGCCGGCGCCGAAGCGCTCGGTGGAGAAGAGGGTGCGGCCCCGGTCGACGCCGGGGACGCCGCCGATGCGGGTCTTGGGGATTGGAGGTGGTAGTGTGGGCGCCATGGTGGTGGTGCGATGTGAGGTTGAGTTGGGGTTTATGAGGTGAAGAGTGAGTAGAAGTGAGGTGTTGTAGGTTGCTGGGGTGACCGTTTTGAATGTAGCGTGAAAAGTTGAAGTGCCAGTGACAGTTGGCGACTGGCGAGAGAGGTCGAAGAGAACTGAAGGGTGAAGTGACGCTTCCAGTATAGTTTCCCGTTAGACCCAGTAAGCCGCTACGCCATGTATTCCTCTCAGAAGCGAGTGATCAGTTCGACCTTTTGCTCCTCGATGGATGTTGTTATGAGAAAAAGTTAGAAAGTGGTTGTCAGGAGAAAGTGAAGTCACTGTTTACTAGGATCCCGGGGCATGTACCCCGCCTGCAGCGAACAGAAAGCGACCCCTGGAAGCCCGCAAAATTCTGCCCCACAGAGCTGCTCTCATAGCGGGGCAACCACCATCATTGCTTGCCGGCCCTCGTGGCCGCCCGATCAACTGGAACCGAACCTCATTCAAACATCACATTCGGTTTATGAATTAGACACTCTTACATCTAACCATTCCTCTCTCAATCAAACGAACAAAAGACGCAAAGATGTCCGGCAAGCAAGAAGGAGGTAAGCATCTCACCACTCTCCGCTCCCGCTCCTTTCGACCAAGCTTCCATTCAAGCTTCGTGTTCGCTCCTCAAAAGCTCAAGCTCAAGCTTCACCTTACCCCCTGGTCATCTCCAACACCTTCCCCTCTTCACCCCCTTATCACCACCAATCTCACCTCAACCTACAACCCGAGACAGATGAGACACTAACACATCTTCAGTCGACATCGGGAGCCTCAGCGCTCAACAACTCACCGCCGTCAAGAAGCAGCTGGACGAGGAGGTCGAGCACCTGACGGCCTCGTACACGCAGCTGGCAGCGGCGCAGGCCAAGTTCAAGGAGTGCTTGCGGATTGTGCAGACGGGGAGCAGTTCTTTTGATGGTATGTTCTCCTGTTTACCCCGTTTACCTTACCTATCTGGTTTCTACGTTCGTTCGTTCGTTCCACTTCTTTCATCTCGGTGTTGGTGGTGGATGGGATGGAGTGGATAGCTGGTGAGGATGAAGAGTCGGGGGCTTGGGGGATGGGCAAGAGGGATGGGGATGGGTTATGTCAAGTTTAAGCTTGACGGTCGACCTCTTCTTTGGTTTTTGTCTCCGTCTCAAGACGAGACTCTTCGAGAGCCCCCGCCCTTCCTTCGGATCCCATTCATCTCACTTACATCCATCAACAAACATCTACACCCCCTTGTACTCCCATCTACTCATCTCATGGTGTTGGCGTCACCACCCTCCACCTCCCCATGCCCCACGACTCACATCCCTCACCTCCGATCACTACACTTTCGTCCCATCTCCTATTACACCACACCCTTCCCATAATTCCATTCCCTTCATCCCGGCCCAAGCCCAGACAAACGCCTACCCTTCAGTCATGGTCACCGCTAACAACAGGACCCCATTCAACAGACAACAAAGACATCCTCGTGCCCCTCACCAACTCCCTCTATGTCAAGGGCAAGCTCTCCAACCCCGACCGCGTGATCGTCGATGTTGGTACTGGGTTCTACGTTGAAAAGGTACGTCTCTCCGCCATGATGACCCTACATGTTACTGACTAGAAGCTTCCAGGACACCAAAAGTGCCACTGAGTTCTACGATGCCAAGGTTCAGGAACTTGGCGCCAACATTCAGAACCTAGAAGCTATTGTCCAAGGAAAGACTAACAACCTCCGCGTGGTGGAAGAAGGTACGAGATTCTCCTCTCTTTCTTAGGCTGGCCGCGTATTACAGCCATGACATTGTTACTAACAAGAATCAACATTTAGTCTTGAGGCAGAAGGTGCTGGCACAAGGAGCTGGAACTGCATCGACACAGGCATAGTGGAGAATCTGACTTGTCATTGTGTGATTGAGCGAAGCAAAAAACGAACTAAAGTTACGGTACAGCTACTTGGTGAACGCCCTTTATCTACTTGCACACGTGTTGAGCCCGTTGACGATTATTTTAACGACACACCAATGTATTTCAAGAACCGTTCCGCGGCCTTGAGCTCAGCTGAAAAATACTCTAGCTATGACTACTACTCAGGCTCTTGACACCTCACCACGACACTTTTCAATCTATATGAATGCCGATAGCCCACGTCTGTCTACACAATCCTATCCAGCAACGTCTGAACCTTCCCAACCCAGTGCAACAAGGCATCGACTGGGTCAAGATCCCTAGTGGGGTCAGCGGGCGACATGGATGACTTGAAGAACTGTTTGGGGAACGTCTCCCAGGACCGCGGTCCGGCTGAGACGTCAGCGTTGGCCAAGTTGTCGTTCCACTCCGGCCGATACATGCTAACGCTCACACCAGTGACCGGCTCTTGAGGTTGTCTCTTGGTGTCTGAGAGAGTGCTCCAGTGCCGGTACAGGGAAAGCTCTACAATATAGTCCTTGTTGAGATAATAGGACCAGGTCGTTTTACCGATGAGAGCCTCAATGTGGTGGGTCTGAGCAAAGGACGCCGCAACGTAGGGCTCAATGCAATTGGCGTTAGCGTTGGCGCTGGGGCGAATCTTGATGCCCTTGCTGAGTGTACGCTGATCCAGTGGAAGCTTATTGCCGGTCTCATCGATGGGAGACTCAACTTTCATGACCCAATCGTGATTCCTGGGATGTGTTAGTATGGCAACGAGGTGAGGAAGATGTGCGACTTACTTGTCTGGGCATGCCGTGGCGAGTTCGACGCTACGGTGGCTCTTCTCTCGATGGAAGACGTTCAGCGAGCCGAAAGTAAAACCACTATATTGGTTTCCATCGACGCTCACTTCGAGGTTGATATTCTTCGTTGTTACAATTACAAAGTTCTCTGTGCCTTGGGGGTCTCCAAAGTCTGGATCGAGGGAGAAAGCATGTTGGATCTTTTCGCGCATTGATTCACCACCCAGTCTGAGCATTGTTAGAAAATAATCGCCAGGGAAAGCAAGCAGAATAGAAGAAAACCAGAAGGGAAGAAGACCAGAAGGGAAAGAAACCATGGTATACACTTACCTCATCTCCATGTAGGAAGTTCCTCTACTGCTCACCCTGCGAGCCAATCTCGAGAACTCATCGAGCGTATAGCTCGTGGTACCCCTCTTGCGTTCTTTGAAGAACAATTTGCCGAAAGCGATCCGCATGCGCATTCTGTTGGGAGAATACCGCAAGCCATCACCCACGCGGATCATCGCAGCAGTAAGATCGCTCTTGTAAGCTTGGACAGCCAAAGCATCGGCCACTTCGGTAGAGTCGGTGGGCGCCGCGGCTGGTCGAAACCATGTGGTTCCAGGGCTCTCCTGGAGAAGTATCCGTATGGCACATTTGTCGCCGCTGAGCGGAGCGACAAGTACTGAATCTTGCCAGACTGTCGCATGACCTTCGCGGAGTACCAAGCTCTTCAATATGCTGCCCATGGCCGCCCTGGCGTTCTGGGGAGAAGCAGCGGAGATCTGGATGGGATCTTGCTGTCCTTTGAGGCGGATCCTGACACCGTGTTGGTGTTCGATCTGTTCCAAGATCGTCTTGAGCTCTCGGTCCTGGTCGTCCACAATGCGAAAGCCACGAGTTGGGACCAACAAGTCCACCTGTGGAAGGCGGTATTAGTATAGGTGGTATGGGGGTGAAAGCACTCTTCCTCAATAGAAATGGATGTAGAACTGCGTTGGTTGATAGAAAGGGGAAAGCTGAGAGGTACTCACCTGAGTGCTCAAGACCTCAAACACCTGTCCGCTGCGCTGGGACGACGATGAGGCGCCTGAATGAGATTTGGACTGTCGAGTTCCAGTGACGTGCGACATGATGAATTGCGTTTTGAGTGTTGTGCTTTTGAATCACCCTGAAGTCTAGTGTTGCAACTCCAAGCTCCGAAAACTTTTCCAGGGCAGTTTGAGAAAATCTGTCGTTTGATGACGTAAAAGGGAGACTGGACGTGAGGCGACGGAGATCAGAAAGTGAGCTTGTACTCCTGGTATAGGGAGACTGGACGTGAAGCGACGGAGATCAGAAGGTGAGCTTGTACTCCTGGTATTTGGACGAGATCTATCCCGTGCTGTCCCAAACCTCAGCCTGGTGAGATCAGGTTGAAAGAACAAACGCGACGAGGGTCAAACGCGTAGTGCGCGAGTTGACAGTGGAAAGTGACAGAAAAGGAAGAAGATGAGAAAAGTAGGAAGAAGGAAGTGTAAAAGGGTAAGGACGACGATGACAACGACGACGACGACAATGTCGAAAACCAGGTGGTAGTGGTAGTGGTAGTGGTGGTGGTGGTGGTGGTGGTGGTGGTGGAGGGACACCAAAGATTGATGAGAGTAAACAGAGGAAGAAGAAGATGGCGGGGGAGGAAGAGGAGGAGCTGGCCTTTTAAGAACCCGAGGCGCAAATTTGGTCCCTCTCGTGCCCGACCTGAACAAACAATGTTCGACGCGATTACTCGGGCCCGAACTGAGAAGTCTATCAGCTGGAGGCAACTGCAACTGGCTCGCTGGTTGCTTTGGCAGTCGCTTCGGGGGAGCGCCTGGGCAATTAGGGAAGGAGCCAAGTGACGACTGCCCACCCGAAGAGCGGACACGAGAAGATCCGACTGTGGGAATATGGGTTGCTCTTGCCCCATGGAATACTCACAACCGGCCGACAGCTTGAGCTCTTGTCTTCCTGCGACTAATTTATTCATGCAGTGGTATTGCTGGTCGGATGAGCAAGGTGTAGCAACCTCAAGTCGCTGTCCGGAAATTCCTGATAGATATTTGTCCTTGCCCCGAGGAGTCTCTGTCTCAGAGAAACTTGACAGCAAATGGTTAAATACTTCGATCGCAAGAACAAACTTAGCCAGTCTGGACAAACGCAACTTATCAGATCAGTTGAATGAGCTGATGACCGGGAGGAAAGAGCAAGACCACACTTCAGACCGGATATCAAGCCGAGCAGGACTCGCCATTTCTTGGAAATGGAAAGAGCCATCAAACAAGAAAAGCAGTGACATGCGTCGAGGTGGAGTTTTTGGAAGAAGGACAGCTTGCGTACCTGTAAGCATTAAAAGTGGCAGGAACAACGAGGCGACAGTTGGCGGTGAGTTCGCCCTCTTCCATGAAATTGCGTGAGGTTACTCCCCGGTAGATCCAGGCACCTTCTTGGCGTGATGTGATCTGTATCTGTAGGTGGTGACGGCGGTGAATAAGTTTGGGAACGACGATCCAGCCCTTTTCAAGAGCCAGATGTGACAGGAGCGTGAAGGATTGGAGCAAGAAGTGGAAGCTTTAGTTGGAACTGTTGTGATTCGAACTTGGGCATCGAGAAGAGCGCCTTGCCCGTAGCTGGAGTGTAGGTCCTGGAACGAATATGGATCTGGAAAACAAAGGTGGCTAAAGAAGCTACCCATATATATAAAGAAGATTTATCCTCGCTGACAAGATCGACAACTGTTACTGGCAAGTTGAGATGGAAATGCTCTCTTTGAAAGCAGAGGACTGTCCGCCTTTTCATCCAGAGCGGAAGACAAACCAAACAACTTATAAGCTGAGAAACAAGGGAGAGGACGGAATAAAACTCATGAACTGTCTTCTGTTCTTGAGAACCCCCAGTAACAGTCCAGTCTCCTCCTTCCGGTGTTGTCTCTTTGCACTGCAGTGAGCAAGAATATTGGAAAACAGAAGCGGATAGTTGCTATGGATGTCTCTGCTGAAATGAGACATCAACGAGGTCTTCAGGCCTTTTGTCTCGACCATCTGGACTATGAAGTGTCTCGATACACGTACTTAACGAACGCAGCTTGATATAATGCTCGTATGTCTGGACTTGGACATGCAATATGAGAACGGTATTCTGAAAAACATCTGTCCATGAATTCAGTCTCAAGCACGCAATAGTGCCACAGGCAAGCCATGAATTTAGCAGATTCCGTCGCTTGATTAAGTCTACTGTTCCTTTGCAGATCTGTGAATTATGACTTGATTATGGGTATCCGGAAAAGTCTTCAAATTTCCCCTCGTTGATCTGATGAGCAAACATCAGATGAACAGATAAGGTGAGATATCGGATGGGCTACAGGGAAGAGCCGGTCTGTACACTCTGTTTCGATATAGGACAGAAGCAAGGAGTCATCAGAGAAGAGAGGAAAATGGGATTTAAGAGCTCAAGAGAACTACCTCCAAGGCCATGGAATGCAAAGACCAATCATATTGGGATAGAAGTGAGGTGTCTCATCATGTCACGGCGGCTCAAAGTCCAGATCTCCCACAAAAGTGGCCATCAGACGGAAAACCAAGAGTGATTCCTTTGCCTTGATCAAAGAGAAGAACTGGTGCGGTTGAGATGGAAACAGGCAGAAACCCCAGCCACTGAGTGTTGTTGCCTTTGGACTGTATACCCAGAGGACATTCTCAATGTTCGTTGCCTTCGAGCTGTCAGGCTGTCATCGACATTGTTCTCTGCCATAAAGATGGCTGCCCGTGTATAGCTCTCTTGATGTTGTTTATATCTTGCCGTAGAATTCGGGAGTTGGAGCTGTGAGGGAGTCTCACGAGCAAGTAGCCATCAGTTCAAGATCCGAGAGAATGTCGATAAGCAACAGCCATTATGAGTGCGAGAGAAATCAAAGGCAAAGATGGCTGTACTGCCTCTCGGGCAGAGAGATGGACGTCCACCGACGTCGTCGTTGCTGACGGGGGAAACCTGATCTGATTGGTAGCCCTAAAAGGCAGCCGCTTTCAGGGCCCAAAATTTTGCCACCCTTGGCGCCCAGAGCCAGAAAGGCACCACCCTCGAGTATGTCATAAAATGCAGCATGGAGCTGAGCAGGCCACAGGAGTATTATGGATAGACCACGAACCTGGGACAACGTGTTAATCAACGAAACGATTTTGACCTTACAATGAACAGTAACGAACCCATTTCCATGCGCATATTCTAAATCTAGGGTATCATTTACAATCATTCAGAGAAGCACACCCAGCGCTTTGATTTCAGGATCATCACGGAAAGCCAACCTGACCTCCTCATCTCCAACAGCCAGCCGGATCTTGCTCGGCCGCTCGGCCTTGTGGGCCTCCAAGTTGATGACACCTGCTCCCGTCAGGTCGACGGCAGCGATGGTGAGTCCGCCCGGCCGCATCTGCCTGGCGTCGGGTTTTGATCTAGCCCCTCCCATGATACCATCTCCATAGTCTGCCGCACTCACTCCAGCCGTTGCCATCAAAGCGTTCAACGGCCGGCTATCGCCCCCGGTCGCCAGCTTGATCATCCGCTGCATCTCCTCCAGCACATCGCCAAACGTGCTCTCCGCCAGCCCAGTCCGCTGCGTACGCAACAGCAGCGCCGTAAGCAACAACCTCGATGCAAAGGGGAGGCCCCTCAGGTATTGCTGCAGCGGATTACTCGTAGCCTCGTTGATAGCCCTCCGCACCGTCTCAATCGTGACTCTACCCGCCGACCCCTTCTTCTTGCCGGCCACTTTATCTTCAACACCCTTCTTCTTGCTCGGCGTTGGCGGTTCAGCATCAGCAACAACCTTCGCATCCGCCTCCGCCAACTCCACCGCCCGTCGACAAATATCCAACGCTCGCCTCGCATCACCGCTCACCGCCGCCACTTTGCGAGCAGCAAACTGCACCGCGTCCGCATCCACGATATCCCCCGGCACGCCCTCCAACCGGCTCTGCACGATCCGCATCAGCTGCTCGTGATTATACCCCGGAAACGTAATCCTCGTCAACCCCAGCCGACTGCTGATCTTGTTACTCAGCGTGCGCTCAGGCAAGTCCATCGTGTTGGCCACGGCCAGGACAATCAGCCGACTGTGTCTGAGTCCGGGCCAGTTGAAGAAGTTGTACATGACCCCTTGGTTCTTGGTCACGAGCTGGTCCAGCTCGTCCATCAGCACCACGCAGGGCACGCGGCGCGGGGAAGGGTGGCTGAATTCGCGCTCTAGCAGGTCTAATGCCTGTGAAGGGCTGACGCGCTGGCCCTTCAAAGCTTCCCAGAGGAGAGAGTAGGATTGGTGCGGGTCCGTGATCTTCATGCCGTTGATTTCGACGAAAATGAAGTCATCCAGCTCGTCGGCGCGCACGGCGGCGTCCAGATGCGAGACGACTTCCCGCACCGTGGCGGTTTTGCCCGTGCCGGGCGTGCCGGAGATGTAGATGCATGTGCCGCTGCCGTCGGTGATGGCCGCTTCGAGGTGCGAGTACACGAGCGAGAACTCGGCTTCGCGGCAGGGGAGGGAGGTCGGGACCGAGGCGACGTGGAGCTGGGTGCGGGCGAGTTGGTAGGGGGAGTTTTGGATGTGCATGGGCGAGAGCACGCGGGTGGCGAGCGGCGTGAATTCGAGGTGTTTCTTGATCATGATCTTGCGGTGGGAGGTGGGTGTTACCGCGGCGCCAAGGGCGGCTTTGGTGCCTTTGCGTCGACTGGTTGGGGTGGCGGCGTTGCTGCGGGCTTTGAGTTTGCGGGGGGTGCGAGGGACTTTGGCGGCGGGTTCGGCGTCGGCGTCGTCGTCGGAGGCGTATTCTCGTTCGGGGGATTCGGCTTTGGGTTGTCGTTTCCTTCGGGTGGCTTTGGTGCGCTTGAGGACGAAGTCGAGGAGGGACTCGAGATCTTCCTTGCCCTTGTAGATATCTTCCCATTTGAACTCGTCGGTGTAGGTACATGTTCGCGTGTTGCAGCCTCGACGGCAGATGAAGACTTTGCCGAATTCTTTGGATTTTCGTGGGACCTTGCCGGTTGGATACTGTTTCATGAACGCTTCTTGGGACATGACGACGGCCTTGCCGTTGATAGTGGTTAGGGCGTTGAAGTCAAAACTCGGTGTTATGTAAAGCTCGTTCTGCACTTCAAAGTTAGCAATATGACCCATGGACTCTTAGAATGAAGGGTATCAGAACCTACCTCCACGAAATCCGTCCTCTTCTTCGGGCCATTGCGAATCTCCTTCTCCGAAGAGAACCACATGAATTTCGCTGACTTTTCGCCATCATCCTCCAAGAACTCCGAGGCAATCCCAACCCAGGCTTCATTAGAGCCTTCAGCCTTGAGAAGCAGAGTGTCACCCACGTAACATTCAAAGTCTCCCATTTGTGCGCCGATGATCTTGCGCTCTGGCTGTGTTGTTCGTTTCCGTTTCCTCGATCCAGGCCCGCTTGCTGGTATAACCTCGGCTTCTCCTTCATCTTCTTCCCGATCATATATCCACTCCCACGGCAAGTCGTCCGTCCCCAGCTCATCATCCGAATCTTCTCTGGTTACGCCGGGTAGACGATACTCTTGTGCTCGAGACGAACGCCGTCCGGGAGTGGCAGGCATAGTGGCGAGCTGTCAAAGAGGTGAGCCGTAGAACTTGTATATCGGTTTGATCGGTTCGAGGTCGGAGCAGCGAGTTCATGAGCTTGGCGATCTTGGTACTGGATGTTGTCCTTTTCGAGATAGAGTGCGAAGTTGAAGATGGAAGAGAACGGGATGGATGTCAGGCATGCAAGACGCGTCTGGGAAGCTTTAGCGCGTCCAGTGCACTTAACATCCCTGCAGGATCCGCTAACTCCCACTTGAGCCCCCACAGTTCCGTTGACGGCGCCAAGAACGAGCCACATGAAATAAATATGGGACACCCAAATCTACATACAAAATGCTAAGAAAGCAAAACCAGCACCTCCGTTTCAACTACGTAGCATTTTTTAAATATTTGAAGAAAAATCTGATAGGGACTTGTGAGGGAAAGAAATGGTTTCCCGTTGAGTGCATTTTCAAGGAAAATTTCATGACCTCAAAATGACGGGTTTTGGTCGCAGTGTCTAAGATTTCCTTGGTCAGGTTTCTATTTGTTATCTAAGGGAGCGAAAATGATATTGAAAGTTTCTTAGCTAAACTAACTCCAAATTCATCGCTGAGAGATGGAATGATATACCAATGCTTAGGACTATCTGTCTACAAAGATGCATCTTGATATTTTGAAGAATGATGGCGTTGTGAGAAAGGTTAATCTGGGTCACCATGAAATCCCATACAAATGGCCGTGTCCCATATTTATTTTATGTCCCAAATTTCTGCCACCCTCTCCTTATGAGGAGAGGGTGGAAGAGCCTTGGCGCCCAGAGCCAGAAAGGCACCCACCACCCTCGAGTAACAGAATCTGCCTTCCTCGCCGTTCACGATGCTCAAAACTTCCGCCTGGCCAACGTTGGCTTCCACTCGAGGGGATGCGACTCTGGTGTCGCGCTCAGGTCTTCACCCCAGATTTTGACTAGAAATTCAGTTAGCAACACTATTCGCAAAAACAACTCTCGTAAAGGGTAAACTCACTGGTCTTGTCCGCTTCGCCGCAAATCAAGCGGGCTCCAGACTTGTCAAAGGTCGAGCTCATAATACCCGACTCAGCATCGAGCGAACCCGGCTGAGCAGTCGTATCAAGAGCCTGGAAGCGATGGCCAGACTTCCAATCCCAGAAGCTCATCGAACCGTTGTCGCCACCAGAGAACATGACGTTCTGATCGTTCACAGATAGCGTGTTGATGATGGCGTTGTGTCCCTCGAAGTTCTGCATAAAGGCACCCTCAGGGCACTTCCACTGCTTGATGCTGCCCGTGCTACCCGTCGCGAACGTGAACTCGGTTGGATGAGTCGTCAACGCTCGCACACCCTTCTTGTGATGTGTCAAGACGCCCATCGTCTTGCCGGCCGCCAGATCCCACATGCGGACGGTCGAGTCCAAGCTGGCTGTGATAACCTGAGGATCGGCCTCCTGGCAGACAAGATCCGCTACTGTGCCCGTGTGCCCAGAGAGAACGTGGATGTTGCTTCTTGTCCGCATATCCCATACGCGAGCCACACCGTCGCGACCGCCTGTTACCAGAACATCCAGTGTAGGATGCAGCGCGAGTGTATAGACACCACTGAGATGGCCGTGATAATGTCGGATAACCTTGTTCGTTTCCAAATCCCAGCACTTGACCATCTTATCCTCACCGCACGAGAACAAGTACGGGTGTCTCGGCGACACAGCCAGCCCGCGAACTGTCGAAATATGTCCAGTGAGGGTCAACTTCAAGGCTCCTGACGCCAAGTCCCAGATCTTGATGGTACGATCGCCCGCGCCCGAGGCGAACCACTTGTTGTCCGGTTCTACTGCCAAGGCACGCACCCATCCCAGATGGCCCGAAAGCACCTTGAGAAGCTTCCAAGGCGGGTGCCAATCTGGCCTGGGCTGTGCCAACACGTCGGATCGCCGCGCCAGGCTGTTTGTTTGGGGTTCGTTTCGTTGCGCATTCGGCCTGGTTGTTGACGCACCCGCGCCAGCGCCGGGCTTGCTGCGCGAGAGGACCAGGGCATTCGAGTTGGCGGCGGCAGCGGACTTGCTCGGCGGGATGCCCTCGATGAGTTTGCGGGCGTGTTCTTCGGATTTTGAGGGGGCCTCTTCGATGGCTAGCTTGGCCTTCTTTTTGCGTGGTCCGCCGGCTGGCAACTTGGAGGCAATGGCTTCGGGGAGTGTCTGGACGTCGCTGTACTCGGCGTGGAGACGGAGAGAGAGGCCGGTCTTGGTGATATCGGGATCTTCTGACGCAAGCCCGGGGTCGAGTTTTAGACGCTTTCTCCCGGAGGTGCCAGAAGCATCTGTGGGTGTGGTTGTGGCGGAGTAGATGAGTTTCGTTTTCCTGGCGTTCTCGCGGATCATGATCTCGAGCGGGTTGGCGTCAGTGCCAGGGCCATTGGCGGCGCTGTTGGCAACCTCGGCCGCCATTGTGACAGAATTGTAGATGGAGTTGCTTGGTTATTTGTAATTGTTGTGTTTATGGTTCCGCGATATGGTTCGGATGAGAAGCTGAAAATCGGTTGTTGGTCGTTCGATGGAGTTGGGAGTCGCCAGTTGTTGACTTGATGCCAAAGTTGAAGATGCAGTGATGAAAGTGATACAGTGTGCCACGAGTGCCACCGGCGCGGCCTGGACGCGGCTGGGAATTTTTGCTGACGTCTGGGTTTCAGGGAGCTTGGGCCACATTTTAGCGCATTTAGCGTCTTGGCAGGGACAGTAGAGCTCACACGGTGTGCCTCTTTCGGACACTCACCTCATCGAAGCTACCGGGGAAGGCATCACTTACATGACGTTCAACTCTTGCAACAACATCACCATATCAAACAACTCTTAGAAAGCCGACGTAATCTACTTCTTGATCTCCTGTCGTCAGATACTGAACCAAATATCCACCACAAAACCAAAATGGCAGAAGACAAATTCGCGATTCACGCTGCCGCCCGTGAGGGTAAAGGTGAGCATGGAAAGCTCCAGAACACCTCAAGCTGAGCAGTTGCGGACACTCATTGAGCTACCCACGAACTTGATGAATACTGACATTCCAACGATTTGAGTATCCGTCGTCGAATCTCTCCTCAATGTAAGTGGAATATCATTTTACAAATACGTATAGTAGCAGCATGACTAACACACCCCCAGGCCAACCCCAAGCTCGCCCAACGCAAAGACGACGATGGCCGTCTCCCCATTCACTGGGCCTGCTCCTACAACCGCAAGGAAGTCGTCGAGCTCCTCGTGAACCAAAAGGGTTTCGATCCTGATGCCGAAGACGACATGGGCTGGACCCCCTTCATGATCTCCGCCTCAGTCAAAGACTCGGACGCCATCCTCGACCTCCTCCTCGCCCGCGGCGCCGACATCAACCAAACCAACCACCAATCGCAAACCGCCCTACACTTCATCGCCTCCAAAAACAACCTCGACCTCGCACGCAAGCTTTTGTCTTCAGACATGAAGCCCCAGCCCGCCTCGGTCCGCGTCAAGGACAAACGCGGCCAGTACCCCTTGCACCGTGCCGCCGCTATTGGGTCTGTGCCCATGATTAATCTTTTGCTGGAACACAAGTCGCCGATTAATGCCAGCGATAACGCGGGGTATACGCCGCTGCATCATGCGGTGGCGGAGGGACATGGGGATGCGGCGGTTGCGTTGCTCAAGGCCGGAGCGGAGACGGATAAGAAGGATGTGGATGGGTGTTTGGCGTTGGATTTGGCGCCGGATAAGGATGTGAGGAGGTTTATTGAGAGGGAGGCGGAGAGGGAGGGGATTGAGCTTTGAGTTGGTTCGTGGGTGCAGGTGGGGAGAGGGAGAGGGATGTATATGTGGTGAGCATGGCAATGACATGATGAGGATGAGCGTTGATTTTGAGATTGATTGCCTCGAAGAACGATGGGGGAATCTGACGAAGAGGCGTCAAACAGATTAGTGGCATTAACATCCCAAATTTTCGTGAAAGACATTCCCACTCACCTGTCCATTATGCTCCCTACCCTTCATACCCACACATCAACTCATATTTCATTACCAACTATTTTAACTAGTCTAGCTATGCAAGAATCACCACCTAGTCCGACCCAATCCCCATCACTCATCACCTCACTTCATAGTCCTCTCCACCAAATCCCTATACATGTCCTTCAAATCCTGCACATCCGCCTTCAACTCATCCACCTCCTCGCTCTTCTCGCCCAGCAGCTCCAACGTCGTCTCATACCTTTCATTCACCTCCGCCACCTGCCTCTTCAGCTCAGCGACCCTCTCAGCCGCCTTCTTCTGGTTCTCCACCTCGCCCATGAGCGCCACAATCTCCGCCCGCGCCTCGTCCCGCTGCTTGGAGATGCGCGCCAGCTCCTCGCGCACCGTCACCTTCTCGCTCTCGAGCTGGCGGATCTTGGCGCTCATGCGCTCGACGAGCTGGACCGAGGGTCCGGCGGCGATGGTGGATACGGAGACCATGTCTTGCATCACGTTGTGTGGGGACGAGGAGGAGTCGATGCTGTCGAAGCCGGTGTCGGAGCGGTGGAGCTCACGGGGCGGGTGCTGGATTCCCGGTGCGGCACCTGCGTCTGATGGTGGGTGAATCGCGGATAGGGGTGTGACTGGAGGCATGGATTCCGTAGTGGGACTGAAGAGGGGGTTGCTTCCAGGCTGGGTGCTGCCTGAGGCGACGGATGTGCGGATCAGGCCGGGCTGGCCGGAGGGTCGGCGGCTTGTGATTGCTCCGGCAGCATCTCCGTTGCTGGACGGGGCTGATGCTTTGCGAACCTTGTTCGAGAGGCCTTGGATGCCTAGGAAATCGGTGCTGTAGGTCCTTTGCGCTGTTGACAGTTGAGGTGATCCAGGCCCGCTACCTTCGTTCTTCAAGAATGGGCCGCCGGGAAGACCTTCTAACCAGGATCGTGGGCGATTTCCTTGTGCTTGGAGATCCCTTTCCCTTTCCTCTTTGATTACTTCCTTTTCAGCTTCCCATGCCTGTTTCTGCTTCTCGAAATCCGCTCGGGCCTGTGCTAGGGCCGCTTCGGCTTCCTCTGCCCGCTTCTTGAGGGAGTCGAGCTGCGAACGGTAAGATTCGACGTCTTCCTGATTGGGCAGCTTAGTCTTGGCTTCTTCCAACTCTTCTTCATTGCGTCTTGCTCGAAGGGCCTAGAGATTGTCAGTCTTCTGATAGATGCATATGGTATTGATAAGAACTTACAGCTTCACGAGCCTTTCTGCGCATATCAGACTCCCGCTGCAGCGCTTCATCCCGCTCCTTCTCAAGGTTAACTATTCTCGACCGTAGAGTAGTCTCGATGCCTTGCCAGTTCTCACTTGCAATCGAGTATTGGCTTTGCAGGGTTTCCACCTGTCTAAGCAACTTGGCTTGGGAGTCACCCGTTACGCCTGAGGAAGCCTCTTCAGCGCGGGTACGCATAGCTTCCAGCTTACTCTCCATCACCTGGACTTCGGCCTTCAGCTCCAACTCGAGAGCCTTTGCCTTTTCGGTGGCTCTTTCGGCTTCTTTTCGGAGTTCATCGGCTTGCGCCTTGGCACGATCGGCCACCAGGTTCTTCTCGATCTTGAGAGCTTCCACGGATTCCTCCAGTTCTGCTATCCGCCGCTGATCCTGTTCCCTTGCCTTGTCGTTGACCTTTGCCGACATGGCATCCGCCTGTTCAGTGGCCTTTTGAAGTTGTGATCGTAGTTCAGCGATGATAGCATCTTTGGACTTGACTTCCGGTCGCAAGTTGTTGAGCTCCCGTTGTGACTGATCCAACCGTCTCTGGAGCTCATTCTGGGTCTTTTCGAGTTCGTCCGAGTGTCGAGCACGCTTGCGCAAGTTCTCTATTTCTCTGTCGGCCTTTTCCTTGGCCGCCTTGAGGTTCCCTATCTCCTTTTCATCTTCAGCTTGCTTCTTTCGCAAGTTCTTCAAAATCGTCCGCAGTTTCTGTTCGTTACTGGCGAGATTCTTGCCTTCTTCCATCAGCTGGGCTATTTGCTGATCCTTTTCCGCAAGCTTCTTTTCAGCACTCCCGGCGGGTGCAGACAAGGCTTCCTTGCGCGCTGCTGCTGATGCCTCCCTGGCAAGGTACTGTAGCTTAGCCTCCAAAGCATCGATTCGCTCTACGTAGGCGTGGATCTCGTCTTGGTTTTGCGGTCGCGTATCGTCTGATTTCGTTTCTTGGCCATTTGGTTGCTCCTTCTCAGTGACCTCGACGCTCTTCTTGGGTTCGGTCTCGGCTACTATCTCGGCCGGTGCCTCCAACTTGGCTTCGGTGGTCGGGACTTCATCCCCAGTGGTGTTTTCTGGACGTGGCTGATCCGTCGATGCCCTCACACTGTCGGCTTCCTCAGAAACTGACTGTGCTTCCACCTCTTTAGTTCCGTCCACCGAGTCCCGCGATGCCACTGGTGGCTCCTGTGTAGTGTCCTGCGATTTCCTGGGCGTGTCTAAAGATGCGCGCGGCGAAGAGACGGCCTTCGGACTGTCCTTGGCTGCGATAGTCGGCCTATCTATGCTGTCGGTCGAGGCTCGACTTGGAGCATCCATACTCTGGCGTGGGCTCGCTTGTGTCGAGGATGACGTTCGATCGGGTTTCTGGCCGGCGGCCTTGGCGGCCATGGCTCTTGCCAACCGCTCTTGGAGGCGATCATTGGTACGTGTGGAGGCTGTCCTTGAAGGTGCTGTGAGTAGCAAGGAGTGTCAGTCATAGTTTTGCAAGTCTGGGTTGGAAATATCATACTTGGGCTGGCCTTTGCCGATGATGGTGCGGGCGGAGGAGTGGCCGCGGGTTTGGACTCCTTGTTCTGCTGGGCAGCATCATCATAGTCATCGGCGAGAATGGTGTCTAGCTTGGCCTCGACTCCGGCGACGGCCTGGGATAGAAAAGAGCCCCATCTTGACGAGGCTTGTTTAGCGGGTGCTGCCATGTGATGGTGTGGCCATCCAATGATGGCAGGTCAAGGATAGTGTTTGGAGTTGGTCAGGTACCGGTGGTCGGCTGTCACATGGATCCGTCGTTCCCGTGGTCGTCGTCAGGGATTGTTGAATTGGTGAACAAGACTCCCTCGACGCGATTGTCGTTGTTTCCAGGTTGTGCCAGGCTCGGACGTCTGTGTATCCGCAATGGTCCGTCTACCTGTAGGGCCGTCTCGTCGTGGGTTACGTCAGAGGATGCGCCGACGGGAGTTCTTGGCATCCCCAACGCGCTTCGACGTTCCTTAGTTGCCCCTGGTAAGTACCTCTTTATCGACTTGGCTTGGTCGTTGTCAGTAACCTTTCGTCATGTCTTCTTGTTCAAAGTCTCGGTTCGTGTAAAGATTATGGGTTGGTGACAATTCGACAGTCTGATGAGTGCAGTTGATGTGCAGGTGCCACCCCCACTAAAAGCCACTGTGGCATGCTGTATCTGCTCGCTGTAAGCACCAGCTGACGCAGCTGTACACGTTGTGTGTACAAGTGTGGTTGTACATATTTGAGGCATGCACGGGCCATCCGGATCCGGGCCGAGCGGGGCCGTTGCCGGGACGGAGAAGAAGCTCCACCGGAATGATGGGGGCTTACGCGGCGGTCCCGCTTTTCAAGTTTCCGCTTCCACTTTTTCCAGGCACATGTGACAGGAACCATCTTGCCGGTGTCTTCCCTGTTCATGTTTTAGTTTCATTTGATCACACACTGATAGCTTCGGCCGCCAAAGATTCGGAGAGTTTGTGTTGGTTTTATTCATGCCAATTATCGCACGTGTTGGATATGTACATCTATCATATCTCGTTGACGGGCCGAGGCATCATGGTCGATGACGCTTATCGTCCAGCATCAGCGCTTACGAACCATGCAAGTGAAGCCTTCCTGCTTCTGGTCGAGTGCTGGTGACGATGTTGCGCTTGGTGGATCCTGGTCACCAAGAATTTCAGCTTTCGATTGATTTTCTCGAATGTCGAGCAGTTTCCATGTTTTCACGGGCCTTATTTCCAGGTTGAGATTTTGATGCTCGAGCTGTTGTGAGGAAAGAACAACCCATTCCTGCCTGGCGTGCATGGTTTGCGCTACTTTCCTGTTTCGTCAATTTTCGTACTGTTCCGAGATATCCGGGGCTCTCTTGGTTCACAATTTCACCCAACACATGCCAATTTTCTCTTTCTGATTGATACAATTACATCCCATTGTCTTGATATTTCACTTTCTCACTGTTCGTTACATCAGAGACCCTCTCCGTGCCACATCACACATTGTCTTGTAGACCTGGGGTTGTGGCTTATACGACCGACGAATAACTTAACACGGACAATACCTACCGGGAGCAGATCCGCTTCGACTGCAGCAACGATTCTTCACAGCCACGTTACCCATCTGCAAGCTTCAATTCAATTTACGGTTCCCAATCCAGCCACCCAGACCACCCCTTCTGGCTGGGCTTGGCGCCATTCCAAAGGAGTTGTGTGTGGTAGCAGTGCGTCTATACGGCGGGAGAGAAAAGCTACGCTATTAGTTTAGCCCCAAGTCAGAATGTCGCTACTTCAGATTCCCTATCGGGAAGCCCGTGATGGCTTCTGGGGAGAGCAAACATCAACCTTGAACTGGTGTGAAGAGGTACATTAACCCAAGTCCGAGTTAAACCGTCCACTTTGACCCACGAGACTCACCATGAATCTGACATAGGATTATAACATCACATACTATTGTGCCGAGCTGGTCAACACATTAACCAACTTGATGTTCATGTGGCTTGGAGTCAAGGGAATACGAAATGTCCTTGAGTTCAAGCACTCGCCTATCTTTCTCCTGGCCTATGTTGGCTACATGGTGGTCGGCCTGGGCTCTATGGCGTTCCATGCAACTCTTAAGTGTAAGTGAGCTATGGTAACAGTATGGTCGTGAATACTAACAAGTTAATCAGACGAGATGCAACTGGCCGATGAGCTGCCCATGATTTATACCGTCTTTATCATGTGCTATGCCACATTCTCCTACAAGAGATCCCCGAGGACTCAACTTTTGATTGCCTCGATCATGATTGGACTTGGTATCTTTATCACTGTAAGTGCACCATGTTCTAGGAGTGGAAGCGGAACTGACTGAGGTGTCTAGGTCTACTACCTTTATGCGAAAAACCCAGTGTTCCATCAAGTGGCTTTTGCTCTTATCACTGCCACCACCGTTTTCCGCGGCTTCTATGTTATGGAGTATCAGTTGAGGCCGCAGCTTAGGGAGAGAAATCCTATCGTCTGCAGCCGGATCATGCGCGAGATGTGGACGTTGGCATTGGTTTGTAAGTGGTGCCCAGCTTTTTGTTTCCAATGAGGGCCACACTAATATTTGGGACAAATAGCCATCATTACTTTTGTTGGCGGTTTCTTCATCTGGAATATGGACAACATCTTCTGCAGACACCTCACCACCGCGAAGAACCAGCTGCAACTCCCATGGTCCATTGTGCTCGAAGGTCATGGCTGGTGGCATATCCTTACTGGCCTTGGTGGTAAGTGCATCCCTTAGTCCAACTTGAGAGGACCGTCTTGCTCTCGTTGCGGTATGTTGACTGACACTCATCTTCATATAGCATACGAAATGATTCTCTGGCGCATCTGGCTGGTTCGTTGCCTCGGCGGCGATGAAGAGAAGTTCATGCTTGACTGGCGGCCTTGGAGTTCTATTCCCAAGGTTGTTCCCAGGACTTATAAGGGGGCAACCAAAAGCAGCTGAATATACCCAAAAGAGGACGGGTGTACTCAACTAATAGACTAAAGGCCGACTCGAGAGGATGTGCCGATGGAAGTTTCGCTATCTTGTTTGTAGGATGATGCTACTGGCATGGAGGCGGAACCCTCCTGGTGAACCGATGACGGTCACCTTTCTCGAGCCAGTCGACCCGAGAGCCGGGAATCATTGGGCCACTGGCATCTCCGAATCGCTATCAACACAGTTGTCAAGAGAAGGGGGATCGGCGCAGTGGTTCATACCGAGGTACTTTACGGTTGTAGAAGAGCAACTGCAACCTCCTTTAACTGAAGAAATCAAGACACAGAGCAGTAATCATATATAGACAATGTAATATTAGAAATTGCAAGATGTTGGTGCATCTTGTGTTGGAAGGAAGACAAACGGGCCCGGGAGCACCTCGCCGCGTCTCAAGCGCAGGTACGTGCGAATGGTCAGTGTCCACACTGTGCTTCCTCACCACCAACAAAGGCCGTCGCCGCCGCCAACGTTTCCTCCACAGAACAGCTTCCCGCTGCCTGCTCCCCCTTTTGGACTTTTAGATATTAAACATCCAAACAACGACGAACGAACCCTAATTGACGACTAAACCACCAATTACCTTTACTTCTCACCTAATTTATCAAACCACACCCGCAACAATGTCCATTTCCAACGAAGCTCTCGAAAAGGTGAGTCAGGCATCAAGCAGCTCAATGACCCTTTGCCGTGAAGCTCTAACACCAACTGTGACATAGCTGGTCCGTGAGATCGAAGCCCAGTCGATCGCGGCTCAGCAACAAATCGGTCTCGTACGCACCCAGCAGGCGTCCAAGCAGCGTGAGATGCGTCTGGCCCAGCTCACACGGAATGAGCTCGCCACGTTGCCGGAGAGCACTGCCGTGTATGAGGGCGTCGGAAAGATGTACGTATCCCCTCTTTTGATCATCACCCCCTTTCAAACCGACGACCACAGATTACTCTGGATGAACAGACCGGTTTTTTCTCCTGACAAGATACTCACGGTCAACAAAAACAGGTTCGTCTCAGTCCCTGTCCCGGCGTTGAAGGACAGACTGGGCACCGAGATGAAGGAGATGGAGACAGAGGTGGAGAACCTGGGCAAGAGGTTGCACTACCTCGAGACGACAGCGAAGAACAGCCAGGAGCATATCGAGAAGATGCTCAAGGGTAGTGGGCAGGCTTAAAGCGAAGGGGAGCTGGGGGGTTGTCGTTCAAGGATTTAAGCGCGAGAAGGAGGGGAGGTGGTGCTTGAAGCGCCGATGAGCTTGGCGCCTGAAGTTTCAACAGGGGAACTTTGAGTCGTCGATGTCCCCGGAAATAGTAAATCGTTCGGGATACTACGTAGTTCTGTTTAGGTGCCAATGGCACCGTGGTTATCACGTTCAGCGGTCGAAACCATAACAGCATTTTCTTTCTCGAGCTTGGAGGTCCAGTAGTGTCGTTGCCATAAGGTACACTGCGGAGTCCATCCGGGGATAGCTAGCTGGCGCTTAAATTCAGCAGCGGATGATGGCGGCCCAAGTCCCGGCCGAGCTCGGCAGCACGGTGCCCAAGCTCCAAGCTCCAATGGGTGGAGAATGGGGTTGAGGTGTTGACGGTGTCACGATGACAGAAACAAATTTCAATGTTGGGGGATACAACATACGGTTGCCTATCATGACAGCATATTCAGTGTCACCGGCGCGCCTTACCCTGAGTTTTCGTGCACATGCAGACATTATCCTTTTTCATCAAGATGGTGGCGGCTACGTATCACCACGCCCGATTCATCACAACAACTGAAGCTCTGGTGGGGCCGCCTTCCGGTGGGAAAACAACAGCCATCTCCTCAAGCAGTCGGAATGCCCTCACACTGTTCCCGTCCCCTAGATCCACATAACGGACGCCTCAATGTTTTTGCACATTGATCTCGATACATCTTACTCGAGGTAACACCTCGCTGACAGCTAAGCAGACATCTGAAAGACACAAGCCAGGGGCACAAGCTGTTGATGCCTGGCAGCCAGATATCGATCCCTTCCTTCTTTTCGCTGCCAAGACCGGTTACTGCACGCTTCATGCACCTGGGTACAGCCCCTCACTTAGCCCTATGCATGGCGACTTTCAGCGACGGCATTCCCGAGTTTCGGGTTGATAAAATCGGGAATCATATTTTTTCACAATGAGAAGTCGACGAGGAAGAAAACAATCGAGTTTGACTTGAAGCTCAGACATCAACAGAGAGCTAATGTTTGAATTTGCTTTCAGGCTGTGAGACTATCACAAACACCACATGTCTGATACACCCGGCGCGGAAGATACCAGTCACAGCAGCTCAGCTCAGAACCCAACCACAGCCCGTGAAACCCCTCCTTTGCGGGTATCGTCGCAGACTCTTTTGCGCGACTTGTTCGTCCTTTACTCGGCATTCGAGAGTGGCTTTGCTTTTTGACGGAATGGGGAATCTGGATTCTCACAAACCGGGCATCTGGATCTTGGGATCTTCACTGTCCACATTCCACCGACTCGTCCAGATCACGTTCTGAGACCTTTTCTCGTCAGCACCTTGTCTATCGCTCGCCCATCTCTGGTCCATTTACTGGCTCATCATGCCGCCTCTGGGCGCCTGCGACATGCAACCGCTAGGGTTGTTGCTGCCCCCCCACCGGACCACCCTCCGCTTTTCGACCAACCACAGCCAGGCCACCGTGAGAAACGAGTAAGAAGGCGTTGCTAGCCCCTTCAGTATCTCTGGTCTTCTCGTCGGCTCCTTGGCTCAGCGGCTGTGTGGCACATGCCGCTTCAGCCGTCGTGTGTTCAAGGGTGTGGTCCGTCTGGGAATACCTGCTTGCCTACCAGACTGAGTGAGAACCCGTACACACTGTGTCGTTAACGTGTCTGGCCGGGGCCGAGCTGACCATCCCAACCATCGTGCCTCATGGGTCCCTTGAGACCTCCCCTCCTGATGCTCCCCTCCCATGCCCCCCTGCGCTAGACCACAGAATAAGTGGTGGGTCACACCCCGCCCTCAAGTAAAACCGGCTTATATTCCTTCTGACCCCTCCGTGTGCCGCTTTTCTCTCTCGAGCCTGATCTCTTTTGCGACAAACCACCCAGAGCCTTTCCTCCAGTCCTGTCTCACTGTCTGTCAGTGTCAGTTTGGCTCCGGTCGTCTCACCAGAACGCCATTGTTCCATACCTACCCAGAGAAGTTTCGACAAGATGAGCCGTGCTGGTAGTCGTCATTACGACTATAGCGACGATGAGTCGCTGGCGTCCACGGGCATCGACATCCGTGTCCATCGGGCGCCGCCTCCTGGCATGGTCCGTCCTCCCCCCAGGTCGCCTTCGCCCGATCGCAACCACCGTGGCCCTACCTACATCCAGTCCGTATCCCGGTCCGAATTTGGCGGCGCACCCCGGGCACCACCTTACTGGGAGCAACGCGCTCCGTCTGTTGTCAATGAGCGCACCCTCGTGGCTACTCATACCCATCAGAGCCACTCGCGGTCCCGTGCAGGGTCAGGGTCGCGTGAGCGCCGTTCTCCCGGCGGCATGGTCGTCCCAGCACCTCCTTCTCCTGCGACCAAGGGACCGGTTGTGGTCCAGAACATCATCCGCGGCGGCCACCACAGCCCCTCTGACTACTCGTCTGACTCGGAATCTGAATACCGTGTCCATGCCGGCTTCAGCCAGCGGAGCCGTAAGTCTCACAGCCGTGGACACAGCCGTGCCCGCAGCCGGTCGTCGAGCGGCGAAAGCAACTTTGATGACGCCCATACCAAGTGGGAGCTGGAGAGAATGAAGGCCGAACTCGCGGCCATGAAGTCCGCCAACGAACAGAAGAAGCAAAGTCTCACTCAGGAGAAGTATCACGAAGAGGAGATCGAGCTGGTCAAGGCCCGGGAAAAGTTGGCGATGATCAGACTCGAGGAGGACCGGAGCAGGTCCGCTCACGACCAGGAAAAGTCACTCCGCCTGCGCGATGCCGAGGCCAAGCTTGAGCGCCTCGAGCGTGCCGCCGAGGAGAAGCGATTCCAGGCCGAACACGACAAGGATGTGGACTACCACCAGACCAAGCTCCAGCTTGAGCTGATCAGGCGCAAGGAGGACGAGGACCGCCAGCAGGGCCACATGAAGGAACAGCAATCGCTCCACGAAGCCAAGTTCCAGCTGGACCTCATCAGGCGCAAGGAGGAGGAGCGCCGCCTCCACGAACAGCACGAAGAGCATGATCAGCTCTACCAAGCCAAGGTGCAGCTCGACCTCATGAGGCGCAAGGAGGAAGAGGACCGCCAGCGCGACAAGTACAAGGAGCACGACGAGCTGGTGCACTCCAAGTTCCAGCTGGACCTCGTCAAGCACAAAGAGGAAGAGGCCCGCCACCTGGAGGAGGAGCGGAAGAAGGAGGCGGCGTACGAGAAGCAGCAGCAGCTCGCGCAGGCCAAGTACGAGCTCGACATGATCAAGCGGCGCGAAGAGGAGCGCCGTCGCGAAGAAGAAGAACACCGTCGCGAGATGGAGTACGAGAAGCAGCACCAGCTGCACGAGGCCAAGTTCCACCTGGACATGATCCGGCGCCAGGAGGAGGAGCGGCGCCGCGCAGCGGCCCGCGAGGAGGAAGAAAAACTCATCCGCGCCAAGGAGAGGCTCGAGCGGCTGGAGCGCGAGGAGGCCGAGGAGCGCAAGCAAAAGAAGCTCCAAGAGGAGCTGGAGCTGCGCAAGGCCAAGGAGGAGCTCGATCGCATCCGCAAGGAGAAGGAGAAGAAGGAGGAGGAGGAGCGCTTGCGTCGCGAGTACGAGCTCAAGCGGCTTGAGGAGGAAAGGAAGGCTGAAGAGGAAAGGAAACGTAAGCAGGCGGAGGAGGAGGCGGCCGTGGCCCGCTGGAAGGCTAAGGAGGCTGAGCGGCTGGCCAAGGAGCAGGAGGAGAAGGAGAGGATGGAGAGGGAGTACCAGCGCCGTCTGCAGGAGGATCTGATCAACTCCGGTCTGGACGAGAAGGCTATCGCGGCCATCCTCAAGAAGGAGAAGATCAAGAAGGGCAAGAAGGGCAGCGACAGTGACAGCGACAGCGAGAAGGAGGACAAGAAGCAAGGACAGATTGCTCGTCCTACCTACACTCGCATGTCGCTGCGCCATCTCGATATCGAGACCCTCTACCATTTCAAGATCGATTTCGAATATGATGCTGTACGTATCCCTTTTTCCCTCCCCCATTCCCCCTTTTCTTTCCACCCTACTAACACCCAAACAGGAACCAGGCTACGTCCTGATCAAGCGCTGGGTGCCCGAATGGGAGCAACAACAACTGTGGGACCACACGCGCCAGATCCGCACCGTCGTGACCAAGGAGGTATCCGAGACGCTGGTCATCAAAGACAAGAGAGACAAGCACCGCGAACGGTCGCACTCGCGCCATCACAGCCACAGCCATTCGAGCAGCAGCCACCATAGACACAGCAGCCATCATGACGATGACCAGTTCGAGTTTGTGCGCAAGAAGAGCAGCACTAGACATCGGAGCAAGAGTCCTAGTTTGTTGATGTATTTGGCTGGTGGACGGCCTTCATGAGGGATGATGTTACGATTTAAGTGGGAGGAAGAGTTATGAATGAATGGATGGATGGGCGTGTTTTTTCTCTCTCTCTTTTACTTCTTGGATATCACGAAATGAATGCATTGCTTGTCTTTTATTTCTTTTTGATTGGTGGTGAAGGTTGGTTGGGTAGTTACAAGATATCCATCATCAAATCACTTTTGTTGGGTTTTCTTCTCGATACGATACCCCCTACGCCTAGAAAGATTGGATGAGCACCAGAAACACACGGAGGGACAGGAAATGATTACGTTCACGATCTCATGATAGGAAAAAAACTTGACTCGAATGCCAATTCCCATTGAACCTTAGCCTGCCCTAACCATGATACCCGCCCATCATCAATCCATACCACGACAAAGCCGCTGGCTGTGCCTCTTTGAGTAGTCTCGTATCTTACAAAGTCTTTCATCGCTAATTGTACATGTCGTTAATCGCTGAGCAGAGGGATATCTATAATGGTGATACAAACCCCAACAACCACAAAAACACCATGATGAATAACCAAAATGCGTACCCGTACCTACCGCCTGGGGTAACTTTTTCCCTTTTCCCGCTCCACCATGACAGTGATTCATGATCTCCCTTTCCCGTAGCCTTGATTGGCCTCTGAATTTCTCTTCAGGTCCTTCTTCCTTCCCAGCCAATCTTTCAATGTACCCAGGTGATCAACACCTTTTTATCTTCTCAAAAAAGCGGGTTCATAGCTTGACTTCCTCCGGCCCCCCCTTCCTCCACGCCCCCTCTGCCCGTCTGATCAGCTCCTCATAAACCGTCCACGCCAACGCCGAGCTCATCGCCTTCCTGCTCATCCTGAGCGCCAACCCATCCATCATGCTCCTCACGCCCTCCTCGCCCAACATCTTTCTCGAAGCTTGCACCATATTCCTGTACTTCTTCGGCTGCAGCTGGATCCTCGTCTTGACCGCATCAAACGGGTTCGAAACAATCGAACAGATGACTGCGGAAAAAACGCCCGAGGCGAAGTTGATCGAGGCGGCGCGGGATTGGGTCATGCGCCCCTCTTGCGGGAAAAGGTCGCTAAGATATCGTTTCGATTGTTCGTAGAACAAAACATAAAGACCAGCGTACGGCGCATCGCGAATGGCGGTTGCGCCGAACCCAGCGAAGAACCCGCGCGCTCCTTCCGTTCGCGCGATATCCCGCGCGGCGCCCGCTAGCGAGGTGTACTTGTAGAAACTGCTTTCGTACCGGACCTTGAGGACGGTGAGCGGCATGAGGATGAACCCGGCGAAAGAGCGGGCGACGGCGCCGGCGAGGAGGTTGCCCGTGTGGGAGAGCTTGGGGAGGGAGGAGGATGTTTGGTTTGCGGTGGCGGCCGCGAGCGAGGGCAGGTGGCGCGCGGCATTCTCGCGGATGGTGTTGAGGGTCGTGAAGTAGATGGCGGAGCCGAAGCCGGTGCGCAGGGCTGAGGGGAGGGTGCCGCGCCAGAGGGAGGGGAGGAGGCCTTTTGGGGAGGAGCGCAGCTCGGCGAGGGCGGCGCGGAGCGAGTGTTTGCCGGATTGTTGGACGCGGGTCTTGAGGAGGTCGATGGGTTGGAGGAGGATGGCGGAGAGAACGCCGGAGCCGAGACCGGCTACGAAGTGGAAGGCTGTTTGGTTGAGGGGGGGTTTAAGTTAGCGAGGTCTCAAAGGTCGCAAAGACTGCGATGGGGGATTCGGACCGGGAAACATACTGGACTTCGTGCCCGATTTACGGGAACCATCGGACATGGTTGCGCAACGGTTGGCTGGCGAGCTTGATGCTCCCCTTTGCTCGGTGGGCGAGAAGATGAAAGAGAGGGTTTAAGCGTGGCGCAAACCGACCATGGCCGTATGATGTTTCCGCTGGGGAGAAAAAGAGGAAGGAGAACAGAAATGAAGCTAGAGACAGGTGAACATCGTGACTGCGCTTCCGTTTCGTGGGTTAAGTGGTGGATTTGCCGTGGATGTAGGTGGGAAAAGCTACCGGGAAGGATGCTGTTGCCGGAACGGCAGGGACAAGGAACTATGACGGCATTGGAGTCGCCGATTATTTTTTTCGGGACTGCCCCGCCGTTCGGGGACAGTCTCCACCCTGCCGCTGCGGGGCCGCTAAAAGGCTCCACCACAGGACCGAACAGGCCGGGGCCCCGGAAGCGGCTTCAAGGCCCACTTTCGACATCTCTTGGAAAGAGAGACAATCTTTGGGGAGATATTCCGTTCAAACGGATGATAAACAAAGGGGCTAAAGAGGAAAATATGTGGTGGGGCCAAGAATGTTTTCAAACCAAGGGTCACTTGTGTGCTGGATATACCCATCGGGCATCCTGTTGCTAGTTGGAGGGTCCTGAACACCAAATCCTGATTAGTTGTATTAAGTATAAGTTTCTGGCCGAGAAGCTCTAGTTTAGCTGAAAAGTGGTAGATCGGGCGCTTATCCAGTCGGTCTTCTTATTTCTTCTGGTCCCCCACAATCGACTCCAGCCTTCCAGCCAAAGCCCTATGTCTCTTCACAACCTCCACCCACTCCTCCTCCGCTTCCGGCCCAAGATCCAAACTAGCCAAGAACAGCCCAAAGTCACCTCCCAGCCTCCCCAAACTGCCGGCACAATAAAGTACCTGTGTCAGCAGACTATCCCTCGACGCCTGGTCCTTCACTGTTGGCAGATATAGCCTAAGTGTCTCCAACAACATATCCACCAAATGCAGCGGGAACGTCGCCAACGCAGTCGGCATCGGTTCCAGCGCATCTTGTTGCTTTAAGGGATTATCTGAACCCTCATTTCCATTCCCCGTTGGAGCAGCAGGAGGGAATATACTCCTAAACATACTCACAATCGCGAAACTCTGCTCACGGAAGATCTCAATGTACCGCTTGAGATACCGTTCCGTCTGCTGCCCGCCGGACCACGCGTTTCCACTCCCAATCGCCTTTTGCCTTGCCTTCTCCTGATCGGCCAAGTCACGTAGTGGTTCGAGAGCGTCGAGCATGTTCACCAGCGTCGCTAGTCGGCAGACTAAGAAGAGGGCGCCGAGCACCCGCTCCTGGGAGTCGTGTCCCTTGCTTGTGCCGGCGGCTTCTAGATCGGGCAAGACGCGGCGGAGCCAGCTGATAGTGCGTAGAGAGGCAGCTAGTTTGAGGCCTGGGGATTTGAGGCTTTGGATGAGGTTGGCAGCCATGGTGCGCATGGCCTCATCGGCCTGGGCGGCGATGGAGGTGACGAGGGGCGAGTCTGGGTAGAGCGAGTGCAGACGGCGGATGTGGCCGTTCAGGTCGAGGGCTGAGGAGTAGTTGACCGGGGCGGTGGAGATGGCTGTTGAGAGAAGGTTGGGCAGCTCCAGCACGTCGACGAGCCGCTCGACATTCCGAGACAGCAGAAGGGCCTTCTTGCGCCGAAGAAGGACATCGCTTTCGCTGGACTTGCTGTAGTTCGTCGAAAAGCGGACGGCTTCATGATCGAGCTTGGGGATGGAATGTCGTAGGTCGGCGGTGCTGGCGGCTAGGGCAGGTAGGCTGGTGCGGAGGGTGGAGTGGTGGGTTGCTGATTCGATGACTTGCTTGTGAGACTTCTTGGAAAGGGCCTGGATAGAGAGAAGGAGACCATGTGATGTCTGGGCGAGGGCTTGTGGCTCGGTTGTCTCCAGTGCTGTGAGGGGTTGTGATGAGAGACTGGTGAGATACTCGAGTGAGCTTGGATCGGGTGCCGGCCTCGATGATGGATCCCCCAAGGGAGGGGACAACAGCTCGTAAAGGAGATCTGCCATTTTCACTTGGCGATAATCCTAAAGGATGACTGGGCGAAAATATCGAAAGATTGACCCTCCAGCCCCAACTAAATGACAGCCGTTGAACCTCTCTGCTGCCTCAGCTCGCTGCACACGTCAACTCTCAGGAGGTTGCCCACTCAGTTGAGGACCCACCACTCAAGGATAACCAAAAGGGCCAGGGTGAAGTTAAGAATCGCAATGAGATATCGATCTCAAGAAGCTCTTGTTCTCCGAAGTTCAAGCTTGAAATTGTCAGTTACTTTGCTTTGAATTGAGGTTCAGGGTATTACCTGATGAAGGGAGTTTTGTTTGGCTGACAGCGTCCTTGACCCAAAGATGGTTGTTTGGTGTTCTTTGGAAGAGGAGCGGCGTTGCAGCAATGGAACCCATACGATGGGAAGCCCGGGGGAGGTGGTCAGTGCGCAGCCCTCCAATAGCGCTAGATTTTAGAAGCCGTGCGGGTCAGGTACAGGGCCCTTGGCACCCGAAGACCTTCAGACCTTTCCTCAGTCAACATCAATCACATCATCACCATCCAGTGACATGATATTCTTCCATCGCTTCATGTTTAACTCTACATACTATCACAATAAAACCATCGCTTTTTCACCAATGCTCGATACCGACATATCACTTTATCTTGAGTCTCATTCTTCCTTTTTGTTCCCTTTGTGGCTCACAGGCGGAACCCAGAGAAACCAGTGTTTCCTCATCAGACCGCGCGTCCCATGGCACTTTCTCTTTTCGCGGGGCGATGGGTTTCGGTGTTCTCCTTAATCTCTGTGTCTTGCGTCCCTCTTGCCTGATCTTCTTGCCACTTCCTTCCACTTCTCGGACTGACTTAACGATAGAGGTAGCTGGACCTGAAGGGAAGGTGAAAACGGCGAAGAGCAGTTCCAGAATCGTCATGCCCGTCGATCGGAGCCAATACAGCAGGAGCAATAGGCCAACATCTATCCTCTCTCCTTCCGCTTCCCCCTCTTCCACTTCTTCTTCCTCCACTTGTTCTTCCTCGCAGACACTTTGCTGCAATTTTCTTTTCAGCACCTCGGCCCGGCTCCGACTCCGAGTCCCTTGATACGCCTCCGTTGGTCTAACAACAACATGCTCATCCACGGCCTCATCCTCGTCGTTTTCGTCCTCCTCATCTTCTGCCGCCGTGTTATGTCCAGCACTTTCGCTGTCCCTGGACTCTTCCACCATCGTCACGTCGCTCGACACAGGCGACCTTGGGGAGCGCTCCGATCGCCTTGAAGCCACGGGCGGACTAGGTGCCGAGAAGCCAGCCGCGATGGCCATATCCTCGAGGGTTAACGGCGGCAAATGCTGAAGAGGACCACTGGATTCCAACAATCCAGGTTGCGTTTCTGCATGTAGTCCAGGCATCGCCCAGGTCGTCTGGCCTCCGGGGGGCCGTGATACGTTTTGCGTGGTCTCATGTGAGTTCTGATGAGGTATGTTGGCCGTGTTAAATACTTGGGGCGGGCCAAAGTTGGCTGGGAGGGCGTCGGGCATCTCAATTGGGATGCTGACCATGTTCTCGTACTCCATTGCGTGTGGGAGACCTCGAGCATTCTCGTCCAGCCATGAGGACGAGGTATAACCCTGGCTCCATTGGAATTTGATGCTCGCCGTGTCTCGCGACTTGGCTTTACTCCCTCCAAATCTTCTCTTGACTTTCGTTTTGAACCTGTCCGTCCACGCGTCTAGCCTCCCATTCACGTCGACAGTCATGGTGAAGCCTTTCGCATTGTGTTGCAGCGCAAATGCTGTGTGGATTGTGGGCTTGTGCAGCGATTGTTGCTCAAGAAAGTTTTCGTCCAACCTCCAGACTAATCGGTTATAGATATGACCGCCGTTGCTGGAATCCAAATGCCCCGAGAAAGCCCATCTGCTGGCCTCGTCCATCTTCCTTTCGGTCTCGACGCCAAGTCCACCCACGCCATGGCCTAGAATGTTGACCTCCGGGACGACTTGCTTCTTGCGCCTTATTTGCCTTGTTCGTTCCACGCCGCGGATTTGCTTCGGGCCATAATAGTCAGTCATTGTCACCGGGAACATCGGTAGGTTCGGTGATACAACATCCTTTTCGTTGTATTCTTCCTCCAGTGTCACGGTAAAAGTTGCTGACTCCAGCCTGCAGTCCCGGGGTTGATATATATCGAGGTCCAGGTAGATGATGCCAGCCGGGCATTTTCGAAGCCCAGGATTTGATCCCATGTATCCCCACTGGGATTTGGTGAGGAGGAACCGACAGTCAACCTTCACTTTCCCAATTGATCCTTGCCCGGCACGGACAATGGACGAAATGTTGTCGTCGAACTTTTCGTAGTCACATCGTCCATACTTATGAGTCTTGACAAATAGCTCTGGTCGTGCAGGTCGTTCCATAGTGTCGAACAATTGGAGGTTTGATGCCCCAGAATAGGTATGATACCAACCAAAGCTGATACGAAACGCCAGATTAACATGAGGATTAGGAGAACACCGCCACGGGAAAGTGCAGGATTTAACCACTACCCCCAATTGACCGGCGTAGATAACATGGACATCTCTGTCAACGACCCCCAGGCAGCTGGCCTACTTTCTAACTTTCCGCCTCTGCAGCTTCTGCGACAATGTGTGGAATCGAAAACGTTGCGAACCAGTTCGCGTCTGCAAGGCCCGAAGAGGGATACTGTCTTTTGCAATTGCGGTTCTCGATTCGTTAGAACGACTATCAGCTTGATGCAGTGTTACCCTGTTGGACGCCATCTCGAGACGCTTCGCCCCTTTCCAAAGGTTGCCGACTACTTTCCCCGCCTCCTAGATTGGACAAGGCTGGCGCTTATTCGCATTCATCCCTACACTCTAGACCATTGGGGGCCAAATGGCTGCTATGTACAGCCCATTTGATGGGAGCCAACATTGGCAAGGTTGAATCTACTCTACACAAAGGTCTCCGGGGTTTAGCTTCAGCTTCGAAACCCTCCAGTACGACTTACTATGTCCGGATCACCGTCGCTGTTCCTCCTCTTAGTTGAGGCCGCCGAACCCCTGGGCCATATGATATGAGGTGGTCAGGGGACATGATTTTGTCAGAAACCTCCATGCCTGGCCCATTTGTTGCTCGTCATTTCAGCATATTATGAGAGTAACAAGTTCATACATCTCATCCTTAAAGTACACATGGACACGCCGCCTTGGCGCACAAACAGGACGCGCAGCGTTGAGCCTGATTATCAACAGAGCCGGGACGCTGAGGAAGATTTTGTGACTAGCGATTACGTCTCGACAGCCGACACTTCCACAATCGGCTCCGATACTCTCGATTCCACGGGCCATCCCGTTCACACAATGTCAACCTGGCTGGACGAACAGGCGAGAGGAAATTATGGGCCTGACTACCCTCTTCCCCGGAGGCGTCTTCGACCTATACAGCCCACTTCTCAGTTTCCCCAACCAAGGTGGCCATGGGACCAAGATTATCCCTTTGCCACGCAATATGAAAACCCATTGGTACCAGTTCGATATGCACCATATCACCCATTTGGCCAGCAAGCTCAAAATAGCCGTGAGGCCTACTATGGAGCCTCGCTGCCTCCACCACCTCCAACATTTCCACTGATTCCCACTACAACTCCATACTACCCAGTTGGCCAGCAAGTTCAAAATAGCCATGAGGCCTATGATATGCCACGGCCTCACCAACACAGCCTGCCCTCCCCGCCTCCTCCGCCGCCAAAACTTCCACCAATTCCCACTACGACTTCAGTGCTCCCCCCGGACAAGATGTCGACGAACAAATTGGTTTATATAACCACGGACGCGGCCAAAGCCCTGGTTCCTGCTTCAGTGCAGCCAACGACCATATCAGATCCTAGTAAAGCACCCGCTATCACGGATGACAAGCTCAAAGCCAAACAGCTTAAGGCTGTCGATGCAGTTCACGATCCATCGGTTTCAACAAAAGACATTTGCGTGCAACTCGAGATACCTATTGAGGATGATCCGAGAACCGACCTTGAGGCTTTTAGCCGGTTCAAGCGCTTGGGTCGGTTTAGTGACGCGAAGGAGTTCTTTGAAACACAACTTGAGCATTTCCGGACGACTCCGTATGTTTTCGTGCAATATGCCGACATGCTCTTCGCTGCTGGTGATTTTAAGGGATTTCGTCAACTTGTCTATCCGGACGACTTCTTCCACACAGGTCCTGCATTGCCAAACAACGAGCTTGCAGCTAGCTTCGAGTTGATGAAGTTCCTGGCTCAGCCACTCTTCGTTGATTACCCTGCAGCTATAATGCAAGTCGTTCGGACTATCTTTACGTTCTTGAAAACAGAGACCATTTGGGGCTCGACGGAGGTATGTTCACAAAAACCGTATCTGTACTCCACATGCTAAAAGGAATCTTAGATCCAGTTGTACACTCTTTGTCTTCAAGTGATAAAGCTTATCCAGAATTCTTCTGATCAAGCTATTTGCCCCGAAAATGATGAATGTCATGATGCGACAGACATCATCAATTGGAGTGAGATGTATAGCCGGCTTCTGGGTGAGCACCGAATCTGGGACTTCAGAGATCTGTTTGTCACGGCCATTTCCGTATATGGATGGCAAAGAACGGCGTCACTCATGTTCGGCCCGAGACACCTTCTCGATATCCTCGAGGGAATGAATCAAGATTGGCGTCAGTCCCAAGATGACGAGTCCATGGTTCTTGGTCTCCTAGACCTTTTTACCTCCCTGATATTACAGAATCGTACCACCGAAAAACGACAAATCACAGAACTGCTTTGCATATACTCTCGGTCACTCGCGGAAAAGATACAAACGATCAGCCTCGAACATATGAAAACCCGACCTTTCATTCAGTGGATACTAGCAAAAACTCTGGCCGGGATGGGTACAATACCGCAACCCTCTGATGGAATAACACTGGAGGATTTTCCGGGACTCTTAATCGATCATGGAGACAACGGTGTACAACTACCCATCTTCGTGCCTGTTCGGCATTCGGAGAAGCCAGATTGGGATATGTTTCACGCCCAGGCCAATTCCGCTCAAATTCGTTCGATTGAGATTGCCATTCAGGCGGCCGTCGAAATCGGCGATTACAGTCTCCAGTCACTTGGCCTAAAGATTCTTGCCCTGCATTCAAAGTATCCAGGCAGCGTGCTGGAAGCTCTTGCGAGTGTACAGCTTAGTAAGCTGGGCGATAGAGAAGGATTTCTTCAGACCTGTCTATCAAAGTATCTCACCTTGCGATGTCGAGAGGACGAAGAAAACCTGCTCAAGAGTTTTAAGAACGTTGAGACTAGCTCCAAAGGGTCACAAAACAAGTCCTTCATCAATGCTACATTTCTATGGGCCAGAGACGTGATCCGTGGACACCTCGAAGCCCAGACCTCGGGTGAACTTGAGAAGTCAGCGGTCTGGTGGCTTGATCTTGATGGTTATGGCGCGAAACTTCCGCGATATGTGGTGGATTTTGTGAGCCAAAACCTGGGTTCCACGTTGAGCTCGTCAAAGCGATCGATATCGGCCATGTACTCGGGTAGGATGGCCGCCCAAAATGAGCAGGCTTTGGAAAAGAAACATGTGTCAGACCCAGGGAATCGGGATCACCAACAAAAACAGACGAATTTTGAGGGTCCAATACCAACATCAGGGGATTCTAACCCCAATCACCCAAGCCCTTTCGAGTTTTTGGAGTCCGATAGCGCGCTGGCTTCGCTTTTATATCTCCCGAAGGCCCCGGTTTATGATATGAACACATCTATGGATCCACATGGTTGTGCTGAGGGTCAACCGGATAAAGAAATTCATTCTGGAGATGGGACAAGGCCATTTATTGAAAGATTCGACAGTGTCCCTACGGATGGCCCGCATGCCCAGCGACTAAAGCGCGGCTCTACAAAAAATACTACGGCAGTTGAAGACACCCCAGATCAGATAGCGAACGATTCTGACAGTTCGCAAAGCGATGACGGCAGTGAACTGTCCACATCTGTCCGTATAAATAAGGGACTGCCGAATCTGGAATTTCCGCCCTCGCTATTAGACAGCAATACACTGACCGTAACAGTCACGAGCAAAACCGACCCTACTAGATCAACCACCTACGTGGTGGACAAGAACGGGGCTGCCAAAGGCACCATGAACGCCAGCAAAGAGCCTTCGACTAAAGCTCATGATACTCAGCCCGAGTCTCCAAAGGTTGAACCCGAGGGTCCAAAACGAACAACTCAGGGTCCAGGGCAACCAGCTGGTGATGCTGGTGTGACTCCGAGGAAAATTCCAAACCCCGTTAGGGTTAAAGATACCTCTAGGCGTCTTGCTCAAGACAAGCTGCAGAATTGGGAACATCACAAGGAGCCGTCCTCACTGCACTACATCGAAGAGCTCGAAGCCCAGGCCAGCCATTTGCGCCATGCGCAAGCATCACACAGACAACATCAAAGAGACGAGGATCTGGCGCTCCAACTTAAGATTAAACAAATCGAGGATGAAGCCACTCAGTTGCGCAATAACCAAATGGCATTCAGTCACAACGACCGTACGGGTTACATGCCCGGAAGCCCTGTGCCTCTTAGGCCCATCACCAGGACACTAAGTGATCGTTTTCAGCTAAACCAGGGCATCGGGCGCATAAGTAGTTGGCCGAAGAGTATGCCACCGACGGCGGAGTACGATAGTCAATGGCCTCACAAGAGGACGACGCGGGACTCATCCAAGACACGAGCAGCGAGGAGAGCCGGGATTTCCAAAGAGGTGCTCGACCAGCTGAACGAAGGATCGGTCAGTAAAAACAGAAGAAGCGGGAGTGTCACGGCGTACAATGACCCCAACTCAGCAGAACATAGCGTGGTCGACGGCTACAACTTGAACTTGGAAAATTTGGAATCTCTCTATGATGAAGAGGAGCAAGAAGGTGAGCCTGTCTTGCCGGAAGAGATCTTTGATCGGATGAAGGGCGTGCCAGAGCCTCCGACACAACGCAAGGTGCAGATAAAAGAAGGGCAGCATGAACGTACCACTGCCGCCGCCACCGCCGAAGCGGACAGCAAGGGGCAGGCGACAGTGAAGGAGCATTTTAAAACCCCGACGTCAACGAAACCCAAGGGCAAGGAGAAGATGACCAGCCAAGTAAGAGGATCTTCGGAGCCAGGAGCGAGGAGGAGGCCTATGAGGGTGCAGATCCAGACAGAGGAAGAAGAGGAGAAGAGAGAGCTAGCGGAGTTCAAGAGCGAATTTGCTGAGGATCGAGGGAATAAGAGTTCCATTGCTGACCAGCGGCCGTGGGGATTAGGGATAATTTCATGAGCAGCGCTGAAGAACGGCAAGATACCCATACACTGGACAGTGTCTAGTGACTTTTGCGACACGAGTTGGACTACGGAAATTCAATACTATGATCTGCTTTTCCCCCACCAATTTCAGTTATTCTTGAGCAACACAAAACCTATCGCATCAGTTCTTGCTCTCATTCCTCCTCCTCCCTTCGCTTGCCCCTGAGATGGGCTGAACCCATCCAGACTGGTGTGTCTGCCTCAGATTCCTCTCCCCACTGCTGCTTGTTGCGAGGAGCGGGTTCTAGCCGTTTATTTCCTGGTCTTCTGCCCCGATCATTCTTATCCCGGATTGCCTTATTCCTATCCGACTCGGTCGTGTCCGCGGTAACACCAAACCTGGAAACGAACTTCTCCCAGACCATGAGACCTTGAAGCCAGTAAAGAAGCCCTAACAAGATACCTGCCTTCACTGTTTCAAGCTGCCCTTCCTTCACATTATCCCTCGGAGTGGACGTGAGGTCCCAAGCCCGGCTTCCCGGCTGCATCCCTACGTCTTTACTCCGCCTTCGACTTTCTGGACTAGGCCCTCGAACACTCTCGTTTTCCCGACCACTCTCAACTAGTGTCACATCGCTCGAGGACTCGCATCTTTGAAGTGAGGCAGAGCGGCTGTATTGGGGAAGCAGTCCGCATTCTGCTAATGATTCAAGCCCGGCCGCAATGACCATTTCGCCGATCAACTCGAGAGTTCTAACCCGTTGATTTGCCTCCAGAGTTTGAGCATGCCAAAATCTTCCATTGCTAGTGCCATTGGCCATCGATGTTGGCACTTGTTCCAGAAGGCCGACTGAAGGATTGGAATCCGTTGCCGGAAAGATGGTCGTCTGTTGAGGTCCAGGTATTTCGCTTGGAATGCTGCACCTGTTTTCCCTCTCCATTTCGTCCGGTAACCTTTGGGCTTGCCTGTCTAGTCGCTTGGGCGAGGAATATTCTTTGCTCCATTGAAACTTGACGACTGCTTGGTTGGCTTTGTTTCCCCCAAATTTGAGATGTTCTTTCGCACTCCCCATAAACTGCTTGAACTGGTCTCTCTTCCGTACAAGGTCGCCTTTTACCTCCACAATCATGTGGAAAGCCTTCGCGTTATGACTGATGGCGAAAGCTGTGTGGAATTCGCAGCCGTGCGATGATATCTCTTCGAGAGCGCTTTCGTGGAGATCCCACTCAATTCTGTTGTAGATGAAGGACCCCTTGGCAGGGCGGAGATGACCAGCAAACCGCCATCTGTCATTCACGTCCTTGGCTTCTTCAGTCGAAATACCCATGCCACCCACACTCACATAGGGTGGAACGTCTATGTGAGGCATGAACTCCTTCGTGCGTTGGACCTTTATCGTCTTTTCTGATCCCACCAGCTGCTTTGGACCATAGTGCCCAGTCATAGTGGCTGGATATACCGGATTGGATTTGTCGGTCTTGCTGCTTTTTTCGTCTACCCCTAGCGTCACCGCAACTTTAGCCGACTGGAGTCTGCAATCTTGTGGTTCGCTAAAATCCAAGTCAAGATAGAGGATACCAGCCGGATATGTGTCGGATGACGATGGGTCTGTTCCCATCTTCCCCCATTTGGACTTTGTGAAGAGGAATCGACAGTCGACTGTTACCTCCCCGAGTGTTGCTTGTCCAACGGATAAAATTGACTGGACGTTTTCGAGAAATCTTCCGTGATCGCAACGCCCGAACCTAGACGACGGAGGCAACCTGACGAGCTCTGGACGTGTCTGCTCCTCGGCCATTTCGACGGAATCCGGTGAAACGATCTAGTCCGAGATTGGATGAGTGCCACTTGGTTCTGGCCAAATGCTCTTCAGGATTGTCTGGCTGAAAGACTGTTTTTAATCCACAAGATGTAGGCATGCACTGCCGCTCTCGATCACAGCCTCGTCGTCTCCTTCTGGACCCCCTCATTGTTCAACGCCCCCCAAATCAACCAATATCTGACCTCGTCGGATTGGAAAGCGGGGGGAAGAACTCAGCTTGATGCAGTGCAACCACCTGTATCAGTGTATCGAATCACAAGGAGCCACTTCACGCTCGCAGCCTCGTTGCTTTATCAGAACTCGCAGCTTGACAGATCCCGCCACAACATTCGACATGCTTGCCGAGTCCGGAAGCAAAAAGAAAAGAACCGGGCCTGATGCAGTGCTACCATCCTTTATCAGTTCGAGTCGTCTGGAGCCGCTCGCTCGTTAGGTTGTGGCTGTATGGGAAGATAAGTCAGCCCAATGCTATCGCTAAACTCGGCATCATGGTTTGCTACATGCCGCGTAGGGACTCGGGGAGTGATGGGCGACGCGCGTGATGTGGATAGACGAGGCTCGAGGTAACCGTGCCTTTGTACGCAAGACTTCTCGGGCGAATATTCAATTTTCGAAGGGTACCATAGCATCTCCGTTTTTATTCTGGAGATTGTCTTGATTTCGAACTCCTGCATCTCTTTGAAATCCTGATGAGAAGAACCACCTCGCGATGGAACATCACCCCTCTTCGGCTCTCTCTTTGTTACAGACGCCTTGGTACCAAGTAACAAGTTGTCTCCATGAATCATAACGGTCTTGGGCCTAACATCCATTTACGCCTAAGCGTCACATTCATCTCACAGGAACGCAATTCTGCCACCCATCAATCTCTCGCCAAAAGAGTCACCTACGGCTATGGCGTCACGCGAACCATCGTCTCGACAGCACCGCCTATCAAGGAACGATTCATATGAGTATGTGAACAACAGCAGGACCGCAACCCCTCCAAGACCGATTATCAAGCCCAGCAAATCCCCTAAGCCCGTTCTCTCGCCAGATCAGACACCAGGCGACCGCCAACAAAATACCAAGGACTCAAAGAGAGTTGCTTTCAAGCCCGATGATGTTCTTAATAAACTCCATCACGAATCCATGCAACAGCTTGGCAAAGATCTCGTCCGTGTTTCAAGACGTCCTGTGTTCCAAAATGAGAACGGATTGAATCAGCATCCCCCTGGCAAGAAACATGCCAAGGATGCAGCAAGTACTGACAGGCATGATTATCACTACGGACCTCAACCCTCATCTCATACGGGACAGCCATTCTCGCAAGACACCCAAGATGTCGTACCCGGCAAAGACAACCCACCGTCAGGAAACACCGTTGATGAGCAAATGGAGACTAAGACTTTTGATGTTGTCTATGACCCTTCACGTTCAGCAAAAGACATCACTATTCGACTGGCAATGCCAGTTGAAGAAGATTTGGGCCCCGATCTAGATGAATTTTGTCGATTGAGACGATTGGGGCAGTTCAAGGACGCCAGGAGCCTGTATAGAGCCAGACTGGAGCGCCATAGCACAACTCCGTACATTTTCTTACACTACGCAGAGATGCTGGTGGTCTCTGGAGACTACAGAAGTTTTCACGAGCTGACCTATCCTCAGGTCGGCCGGAATACTGGACAGGAATCACTTGCCGACCTCAAACTTCGGACTAACTTCGAGCTTTTACGACTGCTTTCCCGCCCAAGCACTTCAGTTTACACCCGTGACTCGATATTCACTGTGCAAGAGGCCCTTGAAAGCCTTAATAAAGAGCAAGAATTTGGCTCAACAGAGGTATGTTAACGCAGACGTCATATCCTCAACTTACGCTAATGCCTGATTCAATACATTAGATTCAGCTGTACGCTCTCTGTCTACAGGTGTTGAATCACCTGAGAAACTCTCATCACTGGAACATCATCTCCCAGACAACCGAAGATGCAAAGAAAATATTCGACTGGAAAGGCCTGTACTATCAACTACTGGGCGAAGACCGTATCTGGGACTTCAGAGATCTTGTAGTCACCACAGTCTCTCTTTTCGGGTGGGAAGAGACAGGTTCCATGCTCTTCGACTCCACGCCTTCGCATGAAATACCCGAACTTATCCATCGTGACTGGCTACAATCTTGCGATGACGGAGCGACAGTACTTGGACTCTTGGATATCTTCACGTCCCTCGCGCTGGAGAGCTCTGCACGGGATAATACACGGCCTGGTGTGTTAGGCGCGTTCATTAAACATGCTCCGGTCCTGGCCGAATATGTCCAGCGCTGTGGTCCAGATGCAGTGACTACACGACCCTTCATTCAGTGGATTCTCGCCAAGACAGTGGCAGAACTGCGCATGGCACCAGGATTTCAGTACACCGGTCTTGATAACTGGGATGGACTGCTGGTCAATCAAGGGGAGAGTTTACATCTTCCTGTCTTCGTTCCACTCAACCCGTCGGAGAAACCGAGCTGGAGGATGTTTCTGGCAACGTCCAACACAACCCAACGGAGCGCTACAAAGGTAGCCTACAGAGCGGCCTTGCATACCGATGATCTTTACTTACAAGCAATGGCCTTGAAACTTCTTTCTCTGCAGTTGGACAACCCACGGGAACCATTGAGGACCCTCTCACTTCTGCAGATGGGTATGCAAGGTGATATAGATGGGTCCCTGAGCACCTCCTTATCCAGATACCTCTTGGTGGAGAATCTATCAGAGGCCAGGTCTCTTGTACAAGAACTCTCAGACTTCGACAGTCTTTCAGGGGGCGAGTCACTTCTTTATTCCGGTGTGAATCCATGCCTTCTCTGGGCTCGCGACGTTATCCTTGGACATCTTCTTGCAGCCATCTCCGGTCCCAAAAGCGCAGGAGCTAGGGAGTGGGAGAGAAATGTGAGGATATACGGCTCTAAGCTACCTGAAGATATTAGATGCTTCATAAAGGACCGCTTGCACGTTCCGGTTCCTCCGGTCACCACTGCACCGACCCGACTTTCAAACATAACTGGGGACCAGAGCCACCAGCCGCATGATGTACCATCTAACCCGATGATACGTGATCGTGATGTGCGGAGTCATCTCTCGGAGGCGGACAGCGGCTATGAGAATAGGCTCTCGAAGCAGTCCCAAGTTATAACCGACCGAGCCTACGGCCTGACTCCCAGGACATGCTCAATCAACAGCAACTACTTGTTGGCTTAGGCCACTATACGGACCAGGGCCATAATCCCAGTTCAGATGACGATGAACACTCAAGCATTTCAACCCACCCGGACCTTCATACCGCACGATCTCCGGATTGCGGAGAAATCCCGGACCTCAGCCGGTCCAGGCTTTCGGGAGAAGTCCCGGCACTCTACCGGCCCATCAGTCGGCCCAGGGCTTGGGACTCTACCTCTGACTCTGCCGTAGATCGGACAGATAATCAACGACATCGGTATTCTGACACTGCGTCCAGGTGCTCATCGATCACTCTGCCTTCCAACTTCGACCTTACAAATGCAACGATACATTATGAAGAGTCAGAAAGCGGCAATACAGCCCGGAATAGCAATTATAGAGATGACCTCGGTATAAGGGTCAATTCGGGCAAAGAAAATGCTCGTACCGAAATCAGGGATACGATGGAAAGTCTATCAGGCGAAAGCTTTCGTCGTGAAAGAGGAAGGCGAGAGAGAAGAGCAAAGCTGTTACCTCCATACGCAGACGACATAGGAATGCAAAAGCGAGGAGTCGAACGCGACACGGAATCTCAGCGTACTCCGGAAAACCTACAAATGGTCGCTAGCAAGACCAAATCGGGAAACGACTCTCCTGAATCGAAGACCACTGAAATACATCCCAGTCCAGACTCTCATCGGTTTTTATCTGGCCGTCAACCGTCCCCATCTCGACCACCGGCGGTGACTAGATGGTTAGAATTGGAAGAGGAGAGAAAGAGAAATGAACAGCAACAGAGGCAACTCAGGGAGGAACATGCTTCCATAACAGCCCTCTTAAACGCTGCCGTAGTCGAAGAAGAGGCACAAACAGTCGAAAAGGAAAAAGTGGATACTGTAGCCACTATGGACTCAAGCAAGGGAACGGGAACGGGAACGGGAACGGGAACGGGAACGGGAACGGGAACGGGAACGGGAACGGGAACGGGAACGGGAAATACATCTTCAGAGCAGCGCGGAGATAGCCTCGTTGAGAAGGTGACAGTGACTGTTCCCAGTCCGGAACTGTCTGGCAATTTATCTACCACCACTGCGCCTGTCGACTCCCCTCAGCCTCCTCCTGCTCCTTCGCCGTTAAGCCTTTCGCCTAACCTTGCCCAGCAACCCCCCTCCACGGTGAGCGGGGAAGAAGGAGAGGCGTTTAACAGCAATGCAGAGAACTCCAGTTTTTCGACAGCCCATTTAAGCTCGCATACCGCAGATACGAAAGCGTCGGCTTCTCGGGTCTCTTCGCGCCCGAAGGCGCTGGACAGACGGGGCAGCGGTGGTATGGGGGCCTCTGTGTGTTCCGATGAGGAGTATCTCAGGGATGATGGTGATATGACGGATCTTCCGTCGTCAACAGTGATGACGCGGGTCTCAGCCCCAGAGTATGGTATGACCAAAGATCCAGCTGAAGAGAATTGCAGGCTAACCACAGAAGAGGCCCGCAGGAGAGAGAATCCGGGAGGCGAGACCCTTGACAGAAGCTGAGAAGAAGCTCAGTTTCAACGACAGCGGCGAAAGAATGTCAAGGGTCGTAGCATGGGTGCTATTTCAATAAGAGACCATGTCAGGGAAGAATTAGGATGGAGTTTTGGTGTAGTCTGCTCTGGGTTGTTGAATACGGAAGTTGGTGGAACAGTGATTACTCCCAATCATGCAAGTCACGGGATGGTTCAACTTTGACATATCGGGGTAGAAGTAACATTCATGGTTTGGGTATTTTCCATGTCCGGGAAGAATTCTCATCGCGTCCGTGTCGTAGTGTCGCAGGTTGTTGATGGGCTGAGATGGGGTCGAGTACAAGATCGAGTACCCTAACCCTTACGTTATGACGGATGTCGTGTGCCTCGGCTTCCTTTGGTCAGGGGGCAGCAACAAATGACCTGCCCTTGCAGCAACGACGGCGGGGCAGGCACGTCTGTTGGGTACCTTATGGCCAGGGGCAATGATGCTTGTGACTCGGGAAGAAGTCATTCAGGGACTTTTCCCATAACATTCAAGACGGACACGAGGTTATGGGAGTTTCTTCATATCGAAGTTGAAACCAAATGGCATCGTAGGCTCAGCAGCTTGTACCACTTGAACGCATGTGATTTGGAGCTCTCAGAGCCGATAAGATTAGAACAGCGCCAGAGGTACCTAGCGGCACAACGCCAAGAAGCCCAAGATCCCAACAAAACGCACAGTTGACAGGAGCGACAGGGCCCCATCTCTTTGACTTCAGCCCAGTCGTCGTTGTTGTCCAGCTCGACAAAAGAGGCCCCGAATACTTCAAAAGCACGAATGACAAGATCGCACATGGCGCCACATTCTCATTTGACGATCCCAACCGTCCATTGTGTGGATTAAGATTCTGATGTTGTCCCAACTTTCCATCTCTGCATGACCTTCAGCCTTGATCATATATATCGGTACCTGACCTTCAAACACTCCTTTGGGTCAGTCAACCCACCTATCCGCCTGAGACTCGTCCCGTGCCGGCCTCTATAAGGAACCATCTCACAGGGCACGCAACTAAGCGCCGATATCCAGCTGTCAACGCAAGGCACTGGGCTGCGGGCTGCTGTTCGCTGCTGCACGTTGACGGGGTGACGCTTGCAGCTTGTCGACCTGACGTTTGTCGAAGCTCTAGACTTCCACTTGCCAGCTCCATTGACAAGGAGAGCCCTACCTCGGTGGTCACTATTTATCTCCGCCTCAGCCTCTACCAGAGAGCTACCTAGACCCTCTCGAGAGTCTTGACCCCTTCCGTCGTCCTGTGGGCAACCAACCTGCCACATAAGCTACATATAGCCAGCTAGCTTCCCAAACACCGTCGCCGACAGAAGCTTGTATACATCCAGATATCAACACATCCTCACAAACCACGCCGCCGCCGTCGACATGCGGGATCCCTTCCCGTTCCCCCCGATTCCGGCTCTGGCCAAGGCCAGCCAGCCATGGGCCGACCGTCTGTCCTTCCCGACACTGCCACTCCATGTCCACGAAGTTATTGGCGCCGCCGCCTTCTACACCTTTGTCCACGTCGTCGTCTCGCCCGTGGTGTCCAACCTCTTCTTCTCCAAGTACTACCCCAAACACTCGCGCTCCAAGAAGGCCAACTGGGACACCCACGTCGTCTCGCTCGTCCAGAGCACCCTCATCAACGCCCTGGCACTATGGGTCATGTACGCCGACAAGGAGCGCGCCGCCATGGACTGGGAGCAGCGCATCTGGGGATACACCGGCGCCTCGGGCATGATCCAGGCTCTGGCTTGCGGCTACTTCGTCTGGGACTTGGGCATCACCTTGCTGAACTTTGATATCTTTGGGTTTGGCCTGCTCGCCCACGCCGTCAGCGCTCTTGTGGTTTACTCCTTTGGATTCGTACGTCTTCTCCTGCCCCCTACCCCTTCCCTTAACTTTTGCCAGCAACTAACGAACCCCGTCAACAACAGAGACCCTTCCTCAACTACTACTCGACGACCTTCATCCTCTACGAGCTCTCGACCCCCTTCCTCAACATCCACTGGTTCTTCGACAAGCTCAACATGACCGGCTCCCGCGCACAGCTGTACAACGGCGTCGCCCTTCTCGTCACCTTCTTCTGCTGCCGCCTGATCTGGGGCACCTGGCAATCCGCCGTCGTCTACAAGGACATGTGGCAAGCCGTGCACCGCGCGCCTTCGCCGGAGTACATCCAGTCATACTACAACACCACCAGCTCCATCGTCGATGCTGAGAACGTGATGCTCTTCGCCGCCAAGCCCGAGCCCGTCCCCGTCTGGCTTGCTTTGCTTTATGTGGCGAGCAACTTGACGCTCAACTCGCTTAACTGGTATTGGTTCTTCAAGATGGTTACGGCGGTGAGGAAGAGGTTTGTGCCTAAGGAGGAGGGGAGTAAGAAGGAGAAGTTGGATACTGCTGCCACTACTTCGGAGGAGAAGGAGGGCAAGGCCAACACCACCGCCACGGAACAACCCAAGCGCCCCGTCACCGTCAACAAGCACCGTCGCCAGAACTCGATCGAGGACCTCATCCCCGATAACGAAGAGCTCCGCGAGGGGACGATCCAGTAGGACTAGCGCGCCTTTCTCGGATTCCGTTCTTCTCCTACGCGCCCACCATCCTCACCACCTGTGGACGGGGACGCGGTTACCCACCACAGCAGCGCCAGCGGGAATGACGACGACGATCCGTCCCTGCCGGCGCTGAGGCGTGTCATCGAGGTCATGAGCGCAGGTAATAATGGTCATAGAAACCTGCTGGAGTTGTTGCCGGCGCCGCGTCCGGAGAGCGGGAGCGGAGAAGAGACTCTGCTGTTAAGGGATGTTCTACCGGAAAACTATCCCAGAATCAAGAGGGAACTAAAGATGAGAAAGAAGATATGGAGGTCTTTAAGTTAGACCGTCACAAAGTGACAAGGACAGAATCTCTCGGATTAACAAGAGTATGAAGAGGAGGAGGAGGAGTTCGTTAAGAGACGGGCTGGCTAGGTGCCAGTATCGAATATTCATGGTGACAATCACGGGGTGGGTTTACTTGCCATATCTTCTTTGGATACATCGTTAAATAGGGTAGATAGATGGGTTGATGAGGTCTGGTCTAGCCATCAATCGCTTGCGGAGGAGGTTGGTTGCTATATCATTTTGTAAGCGTTTCTTATTTTTACAATGGGGAGAGAGAGGATCGATAAAGCGTATTGCACTGGCTTTGTATGGTAGTATCTGGGATATGATGCCCAAGGTATTAGTTAGGGTCGTTCAGGGTTGGTAGTAGGTATAGGTTAATGAGAATAATAGATGTTCATCATGAAAGGCCTTACTCTCAATATGAACGGCGAAAGTGCTTCTGAATGGTGAAGTGGATAGCTACATTGCAAGTAATAAGATATTAGATATGAAGAAGGAAGAAGAAGATGAACATGTTCTGTATTGGGAAAGAATGTGTAGGGCTTTTTCTGATATGCGATGACAAGTCCAGATGGGATGAAAGACCTGAAGATCAGATGGTAGAATAGTACACGGATCTTATAAGTGTTGGCATGTGCTTGCTGCCACAGTCACATCAAGTACGGTGGTGTTCAAGTTTAATCACCATCGGTAAGAATAGAAGCAAGTGCCATCTTTTTATACACACGTGACAGCTTGGGGACTTTTTTGAGTTTTCACATACAAGAAGAGGTAGGTAATCCAAAACTTGACAATCCATCCTAGTAATTATCATATTAAAAAGTATCGTTCTTATAAAAAAATGCGACGATGCTAATGCGATCCGCGGTGCTGCTTCTTCTTCCAGGTTCTTCCTCTTCTTTCCGTTTCGTCGGCGTGTATGTTCAAGTTGTGTTGTCTCGCAAAGAACTCGCTAATGCTTTACACCACCACCACCTTCCCTCCCACCGCCTTCCCACCACCAACTTGCCACCACCAACATTCCCAACTCTCTCATTTGCGTTTCTCCTTCACTTCTCTCTTCACTCCAGATTCACTCGCATCTTCGTCACCCATTCCCCGGGTAGTCCGCACAGTCTATCAACAACCAACAAAACTAAACCCAACCACGTAGATCCTGACTCAACCACGGGCAAAACCACTAGACGGAGCCCACTCACTCACTCACTCACTCACAACAATTCGACAAGGCCTATACACACATTGTATGGAGAAAGCTTAGAAACCGAACGGGTTATCAGGAGCTAGTAAACGGTTAGCACATTGCCTTCCACCACAGCACATACTTTTATGCGGGCAAACTTACTAGCAGCCGCCAGATTCGCCCTCCTCCCCGTCGCCTGCGGCGCCATTTTCTTCGCATCACCAGTAATCCCAAACCTCACAGGCGGCGCCGGCCCAGTCTGCTGCGGCACCAACGGCTGCTGCTGCTGCTGCTGGGGTCCATTACCAAAGCCCTGAGCAAAGCTCATGCCCGTAGACTGAGGCTGGAGAGGCGGCGGGAGTCCACCACCGACATGACCGTAGCCGGTAGGCTGGGCGATGAAGGGCTGTTGTTGCTGTTGAGGGTATTGACCGAATCCGGTTTGCTGGGGTTGCATGCCGGTCATCATGGGCTGTTGCATTTGTTGTTGCTGCATACCGAAGCCGGTGGGTTGAGGGATGAAGGGTTGTTGTTGAGGGGGGAACTGACCGAAGCCGGTCTGCTGGGGCTGCATGCCCGTCATCATGGGTTGCATGCCGGTCATCATGGGCTGTTGCATTTGTTGTTGCTGGGCCTGCATCTGAGCGGTGTATTGTTGCTGGAGACGCTGCTGGGCGAGGTCGGCGAGGCTCTGACCGGGAGGAGCGATCTGGGGTGGTTGGAAACCGGTCATCTGAGGCTGGATAGGAGGTGGCGTGAAGGCGCTAGGTTGAGCGGACTGAGGCGCCGAGAGAGGGCGAGATGGAGGAGGTGGAGCAACAAGACCACCCTGGGCCGCAGTGAACTGAGGAGCAATAGGTCTTTGGCGGGCAAGGTTCTGAGGAAGGATCTGTCCACCAACAGCAGGGGGTTGCATACCGGTGAAAAAGCCGGGAGTGGCGCCGGTAAGCTGAGGAACCTGCGCCGGAGCCGCGGAGGGCGGAGGTAACGTGATGGCCGGCTGCACAACTGGCGGAGGAGCGACCTTCTCGGGCTCCAGAGGTTGGGTGAGCAACGACAACTCCTGCATCGACTTGGTGAGTGCCGCTGGCGGAGGGGGAGCCGGCGCGTCAACCAGAGCAGGAGCCGGAGCGGGTGCCGCCGCAGGAGTAGGAGCAACGGCTTGCGCAGCCGGCTCAGGGGTTTTCGTCTTGGTGGGCTTGACATCCCAAGCATCATCCTCAAAGCCCCTGGAAGGCTTGGAGGCAGACGACGTTGGCGTAGCCGCAGCCGTAGGGGACGAGGCCTTGGCACTACCATCCTTGGAGAAAGCGTTGGGATCGACAGTGTTGCTGACCTCGACAGGGGGCGCCGGCCTGCCCTTCTTCGTGTTGTTGCGCAGCGCTCCTCCTGGCCCAGAAAAGAGTCCTCCCTCGCCCTCATCGCCCTTCTTGTTCCGCATGTACTTGTTATCCAGGTACCGCATGACCTTGATGATGTCACCTTCACGCAGGCCCAAGTTCCTCAGCACAGTAGCATCAACATCTGGCAAGACACTTTCGTCGATAGCCTCCCGCAGGAAAGCTTGCGAATACCGCTCGCACAAACCAACCTGTACGTCGCAACCGAGGAAGAAGTTAAACCAGTCGTAGTCGGGCTTCTTGGAGGAGTCGATGGTGGCGCCAACCCGAGAGCTGGAACCGCGGTCTCTTTCCCTGTCGCGCGTCGATCGACTAGATCTCGAAGACTCGCCGGCAGATCGCTTGTTCTTAAGGTCGGACAGGGGCTTGTCTTCGTCGAGAGATTCACCAGTTACGCGCTCCACGTACTCAAGATCCTCAACAGACATCTTCGAGACGGGCACGGCGATCTGCACACCGTTCATCTTGTGAAGCCTGATCTTACCATCCTTGACACCGAGGAATTGGGCCTCTACGCTGAACGACTTGGATCGATCGGTCCATGTTCGTACCTTGGAAGGATCGGGCTCTGCGACAGGCTGTCAGTATCTTCGTAATCTGAAATCTGGGCACAGGCGCACTTACTCGACTTGCTTGACGACTTGGAGCTGCTGCTCTGACCGTTTTCGCGCCTACTGCTTCGCTGTTTTCCTCTTCTGTTATCATCTGTGGCCGGCAAACTACTTCTTCGTTCTTGCAATCTCAATCCTGGGCCTACCTCAGAGTTCCTCTTCTGCTTCTCCTTCTCCTCCTCACGCTGGGCAGCCTTGATCGCCTCCTTGGTCAAGCGCGCCTCCTCCAGACGGTTCTTCTCGACTTCCGACATGCCCACGGCAATACCGGTGACGGCCGTCTCCGGCTCTTCCCACACGCCGTTGATCTCAATGTAGCTGCTGGGAACCACGCCCTCCTTGCCGTTCTTGACGCGACGAACCATCCACCACTCGTCGCTCTTGGTATCATCGAGAATAACGACCTCATCGCCGACGCCGACAGTGACCTCATCCTCTCCTTGAGCCATGAAATCGTACGACACGGTACCCTTCTTCTTCTTGCCTCCCACTCCCGCGGCAATGATCTCCTTGAGTCCCTCGAGGCGCACATTTCCGGCCATGTCGCCCAGCATCGCGACGATCTCTTCAGCGGTGTCCTTGGCGCCCGCGTGAAAGTCGACGCTCTTGCTTGGTCGCACGAGCTCCATAAACACGTGCTTGCCCTCCCGAGAGTAGTGTGTCATGCAATCGGCCCGCCATTCCTGCGAAGGACCGTCGTGGGCGTGTTCCGGTGCTATCAGAATCATTCCCGTCCTCAGGTTAATGCCCAACGTGGTCGGCATCTTCTTCTTCTTGCCCATCACCGACGTCATCTCGTTGATGTTGTACATGTGGAAACCGCCAGGGGTGAGCGCAGCGGTCTGAGGAGCAGGCTGGATTGAGGTTCGCGGGCTGATTCCATAGTCGTCGGTGTCGTGCGATGCCGACTGTGCGGGCGGCGGCACCGGTCTGTAGGACTTTTGCTCCGGAGCAATTTGCGAATCGCCCCGCGGGCGGCTCGGAAGCGGCGGGGACCTAACCTCTTCTTCATAGTCTTCCGAAGCGTATGACTGTCGCTGGGGCTGGGGAGCCCTGATGGGCGCTGGGGGTTGGAACGACGAGCGGTTGGCCATAACTCCGGCGATGGCGGCAGCAGGGTTGGAGGCAGCAACGGGGCTGCTTGGCTCGGAGGGTACGCTCCTGGCGGGCAGGGGCGGGCTGGCTACATCGACGCTGACGCTTGGTGTCCTCTGCGGGAGAGCCGGAGGAGGAGCCTCCTCCTCCTCCTCGGCCTGCTGGTCAGCCTGACCACCGCCCAACTCGATGTAGTTGGCGGGCGCGAAGCCGTAGTCGCCATCGTGGCCAACTAGGATCCAATCGGGGTCGGAAGCGTCGAAGACTGAGAGCTGCGCATCCTCGGGGAAGGAGATCTCTTCGTCGGTCTGACGCGTGTACTCGTAGAGAGCGCGAGCGTATGATACGGGTTTCGCCTGGCGTCGTGGTGTGCGCGGTCAGTTCAAGTGATCCATCTAAATGCCAAGGCCAGCCAGCTTGCTGTCCTCCATGTAGGTGTATCAAGACGACATTGCATAGACCTCAGACCACATCACATACCTCCTCAATGTAGTTATTCGGGATCAAGCCGACGGGCTCGTCATCGTCGGCGGCATTGGCCTTCTTCTTTGCCTTCCACCAATCGTCGTCCTGGCTCTTTTCCAACACATAAAGAATGTCGCCTTCGGA